GTCCGAAAACGCAGCAACGTTTCTTCTTCTCCGCGGCGACTCCTCTCGAGGCCGGTTGCCACACACGTTCGTCGCGATTGGCGCAATCCTCCTACCGGGTGACGAGTGATCGAGTGACCAGGTGCGCCGGACGAGAGCACGTCGCGCTTTCGGCTCGCCTTTGCAAAACGCAGCGACGATACCGTCCATCGATCGCACTCGCCTCGTCACTCCAGTACTTTCTTATTGCGCTCTTACGATCTCATTTCGCTCCTTCGCGCCGCGCCTCGACATGTGCCATTTCGGTTTTTCTCCTCCCTCAAATTTCTCTTCAAATCTTTTCCTTGAATCGTTGAATTTTTTCCTTAAATTTTTCAAATTTTTCCCCTTAAATTCTGAAATTCTCTCCTTAAATCTTTTCTCCTTTTTAATTCGTGCATGGAAAAGGTGAGCTCAGTTCCTGCAACCAAATAGGGATTCCAGACGGGAACTCGAAGCGATATCTCTGCGAGCGCGATCGAGAACGAATTCGTGTGAACGTTCAACTGTGTTGAGGCTCGGTTGAGACAACTGGGGAGCGATTGACCTGGTGGAAATCTTCTACGGGGATCTTTCTGCTTCTCCTGACAGCAACGAATTTTCGTTACTTCGATACTTTCTTATCACGCTCTGGTGATCTTATTTCGCTCCCTCTCGTGCTTCTTCATGCCGTGCCTCGACAACATGCAACATATTTCTTTTCTTTTTCTCTAAATTTTTTTCTCTAAATTTAAATTCTTCAATTTTTAAATACCTCAGTTCTAAATTTTTCTTCAAACCTTTCCTTTCTTTCATTTGTACACGGAAGAAAGGAGAACTCAGTTTCAGCAACTGAATAGGGATCAGACGAAAACTCAATGGCAAGAAATGAAAATTCAGCGACGGGAAGTGATACTTCTGAGAGGCGACGTTCCTCCGCGCCTCGACAGGGTGTAACCGCGTCTCGGTTTTTCTTCTTCCCTGAAATTTTTATTTCAATTTTTTCAATTCTTAAATCTTTCAAATTCCTCAATTTTTTGATATTTTCTTTAAATCTCTTCTTTCTTTACTTCGTACACGGTAAAGGAGAACTCGGTTCCTGCAACTGAACAGAGATCAGGCGGTTAGAAATGAAAATCCTGTGAGAGGGACGAGAAGCGATATATCTCCGCGAGCGCGAAAACATTCGTGTGAATATTCAGCCGCGTTAAGAAAACTCAGTCGAGACAACTGGGACTAATTAATCGAGCGGGAACCTCCTCGGATAATCTTTCTGTTTCCCACAACCGAGTTTTCGTCTGGTCCTCCAGGCAACGTAAAATCACGGTTCATTCACCGACGGAATTGTTCCTTCTCCGTGTATATACCTACGATCGGAAGACACGCGCGCGACTCGTAACGCGCGTCCGCCGCTTTCTTTCGACTAATACGAACATCATTTCGCAAAGATCCGCTTGCGTCATCGCTCATCCTCGGAGCCGCTGAGCTCTTTCGGGCGATGGAAAGCGGCCGGTTTTCCCAGCGCGAAAAGGAAAAAAGAAAGAGGAAAAACGCGAGAGCGCGTTACGAATCTCGGCGAATTAAGGCGGTTCGCGGCCGGCGGGCAAAAGTAAAAGGATCCTTCCCGCCGTTACTATTCGCAGACACCTCGATAATTACCGGTGCGGTGGAAAATAGCGAAAGCAGCTCTCCGGGTCCCTCGATGCGGGACGCTGAAGCATGATTAAGTGATCGGGGGTTATTAAGTGAGTAGGAAGCTTCGCGCGCTCCAGCGACGCTTATCGCGTATACGCATTGAAGATATCGTCTTCCGCGTACGCTAATAGGACGTGCCCGTCGTGGAAAAAGGTGTGCTGAATTAACGAGAGAGTCTTTCGCGCGGCGGCGGCGGCGCGAATACGAACCACCTCGGGAATTAAGGATCTCACGAATAGTACGTGATTGACGGTTTCGTAGGCGCGACTTCATCGAAAGTTAACGAGTCCGTTAACACCCGCGTGCGAACGAACGGCGCGTCGCGAATCGTCGGACTCGGCGTCGCTCGACGAGTCCGCGGAAATCGAACGCTCGAACGATGAATGAGCCACGCTAATGGTTTTTAACGCGCTGGTCAATGAATTGCGAATTAGTAGAAAGGCACGAGTCACTGTTCGTGTACTAATGAAGGGGCACCCCCGAGTCGAACTTCGGCCTTGTATTAACTCGGCAAATTTTCTTCCGTCGAATTTCAAGGATTATTTCGCAGAAAAGAAAACGCTGTTATATCTAGTATAGTGTTTCATCCGGAGATTCCACATACCGAAAAACAAGAGTGATAGTTTATAATTACTCCATCATTCCTTGGAAAATTTTTATTCGGAGCTAGTTATATTTACTTGATCCGAATGAAATTTATTTAATCCGAGTAAAAATTTGCTAAGAAGTAAGAGTGATGAGAGTAATTATTTATTTTTAAATACTCTCTCTCTCTCTTTTCAATATGTGGAATATTTAAATAAAATAGTATACAAACTATTATTTTACTTTAATGCTACAAATGATTTTTTTATGTTGAATCATCCTTCAGAAAACATTCATTTCAAAATTATTTAATATCTAATTATCTTAATATCTTACCTCCATTCAATTCCTGAGAAGGCTTTAGCAAATTTAAAATAAAACTTAAAATAAAACAGTCTAAAGAGCGTTATTACACGCAGAAAACAGCATTTGCGACCATTTACACAGGATTCTAAAGTCGATATTCATAATTGTAAATTCTTTGCGATCTTTGATTGAAAGAATCAATTACGGATTTATATTCGTGAACTGTTATCGAGCTGTTTGAATCAACGTTTCTTACGTTACGTGTGAAATGAGTAATCGAACACTCTTAAAGCTCTAATTATCAAACTATAACTTGCCAAATAACGACGCATAAATGTCAGCCTCAATTTTAACTAGAATATCTCTTTATTCTCGATCTCTAAATTCGTCAAATGTCAATTAAAATCGAGAACCTGCTATATCATAAGTAACCTTACACACCTGAACACATATATCCCAGCAAACACTAGTTACACTGAGAAAAGAATATATAGTTACTTTTGGGGAGACAACAATATCCTTCTTTTATTTTAACCACAAAAAATAGTAATAGCAACGTGTACGTAAGATTATGGCCACTAACATTACAGTAACGCTTATTAGAAAAATAATTCTCCCAATTATTTTTGCGGTTAAAATAAAAAAAAGGATATTGTTGTCCTCGAAAATAACTATATTTTTCTCTCAGTGTAACGGTAACGTAACGTCCATGTTATCATTTCTCATTCAACAACATACAACCGTTACATAACACGCGTGTTACATTTACATTGTTGAATGGGGATTTGTAACATTAATGTTATATTGCTATCAGCTGGTATTTGCTGAGATGATATATCGTCCGTCGTATTGTTTTCTTCCTAGCTTCCGATCCAGCATCCTGGTTCCTGTCTGCCTCGTCGTGGCATTCAGGATACTCATACATGACACTGGCACTAATAGCGCCAACACTCACATAAATTTGATCAGAGAAATGCGCGTTAATTAACGCGACGTTTATGAAACCCGAGGGAATAGTCAACGAACTATTTTAATCGCCCGATGGAAATTAACGTCTCGACAACGTGAATACCGACTTAACTGACACCGCACCGTAATTAAAGCTTAGCGTAGATCTTGCAAGTGCTACTTTTTTTGTATCTTACAATGTTCGTTAGACCGCAAGTCCTCTCTCGAATAACTTCTTCTTCTCTCCACCCCCTTTGAATTTCCAAACTCCATCGAAGTTTCCAACGCCAATACAAAAAAATAATAAAAGGATCGCGAACGTGGGAAAACTTTCTCGTCTTATTCGCCCGTTAATCTTATTATTTACCCGTTTTAATTATTTAATACTTGCTTATTTCATACTTTCTATCTGTAGAATTGAATTATATAATTAATAAGTTACTCATTGAAGTTAAACAGAGAGATCGAATATAAAATACTGAAATACACAGGCAGTATTGAATAAATTTCATTAACATTCGGAAATAAGTCCTCCTTTGAGGATAATTCGGCGTGTAGGAAATGTCATTGAATAATAATTTGCAGCGTCGAAGTAAAAATAGGCATAATGTCTGCATGGTGTTGTATCTCCGTGAAGTTTCTACATTAGTCCTTCGAGTTCGGCGGAGTTTGTAGGATTAATGCGATTCCGCAATTACGAGCCAGACATGCGTCACAAGTCGGACATTAAGTTGCTTCGTTAAGCAACATACAAGTTCCGCGCGTTTCACTCGTTTGTTCATTTATTGAGTTTCAACGTACGAGATATAATCGCGATAAAATAACGCATTGACGTGTGACAAGTGTTATCGCGTGAGTAATACTGACCTGAAGCTCCACTCGCCGTCATTTGCATTCGTAATGTCAGGAAGAGATAACGAAGAAGACACTGATAACGGTATCGTTTCCGAGTAGAGTTCGGAGACCGTACTTGAAGACAATAGCAAGCAAGCAAGATGCAAGAGTGTCTGACGTAAAAAATCTCCGCGCGATCGCACTCCGGTCTCCGCAAATCTTCAACAAGAAAAAAATAGAAGAAAATTAAGATCCCCCTCCCTGGGGAGAAAGATCATATACGAAATTTGCCCATATATGACTATATGTAATCATACACGTCCACGACGAAAAAATACTGTTGTTTACAAATTATATGCAAATATAATCGGAGTAAATGCTTCTGATATCGCACATGATATCGACACTTAATTGAACGACATAACATCATTTTTCTCGTAGAGACATATATATATCTGACCATACATGTAACCACATATATGGACAAAAAATTCATATATGATTTTACATAATTATATATATGTACAGATATATAATTATGTATGATCATTTTTCTCCCGGGTCGTCCCTGCAATCGTCCTGTTCGATGGCGCCAGGAGTGAGAGATACTTGACTGTCACTCTTTTCTCTCGCAGAGCGCGCTTCTCGCGATCGCCTGTTCGTCGCTGGTGCTCGCGAAGCCGGCGCCGGAGCCTCCGGCTAGCTCGTACTTTCCACCCTCCGGCGGCGGCGGTGGCGGCGGCGGCTACGGCCCGCCCGCGGACCGTTACGGGCCGCCGCAGCAGAACCCGGTGATCCACAAGCACGTATACGTGCACGTGCCGCCGCCGGAAGCACCCGAGTACAAAGCGCCGAAGCATGTGCCGTTGCCGCAGCCGCCGCAGAAGCACTACAAGATAGTGTTCATCAAAGCGCCGACGCCGCCGACGCCGACCGCGCCGGCGCTGCCGCCTCTGCCACAGCCGGACGAGGAGAAAACGCTCATCTACGTGCTGGTGAAGAAACCGGAGGAAGCGCCGGACGTGGTGCTGCCGACGCAGGCGCCCACGCAGCCCAGCAAGCCTGAGGTCTACTTCATCCGCTACAAGACGCAGGTAAAAACGCTGAAGCGTAGTTCACAACACGGCCGGTAGGTAAGGAGGAATACGTTCGCAAAAAGTGAGAATACCAAAATTTACCCCTCCCCTCAATCATACTCGAATGTAAAGATAATGATCGCGACGATTGGTTAATTTCTCTTACTCTTGTTTCTTGTGAATATACATATACTACCCATCGTAGATCACTGAGAAAAGGATTCCTTCAAATTTAATAAATTTTATAAATTGGCACGCTCCAAAGAAACCATCTCGATTAATACGTACGATCGTTAGACTTTTCAACGAATGCATACCTTTATCTTAAATAAAAGATTCGTCCGAAACGAGAGATAATTTTCTTACAAATAAATTATCCGTTTCGCTCCACATATTTATCGTGACCGAACAATATTTTATTCGGTTGAAAGATATTATTTCGAATAACGGCGCTCTTTCTTGTTAAATAATAGAGATTTTCTCGAGTGAGTGACGGTAAAATTTTTACTGAAATAAATCATATTTCGTACATGTTGTTTCTATGAAATGAATTTTGGTCAATTAAATAGAAACAGCAAATCTAAAGAAATCTTTTTCTCTATGTGGTCCGCAATACGGGCGGTAGGAGTATGTTCGTCAGAAGTGAGAATAAAAAATTGGCCAATCATATTCGAACGTAAAGAGAATAATCGCGACGATGATTGGTTGATTTCTTACTCTTGCATCTAATAAACATACTCCTACCCATTGTAAACCACGTTTGAAAGGGCCTTTCTTCCGCTCGGAAGAACTTTCAAGTGACTCGCGTCGAACCCTCTTCCGCCTCGTAGTCGTCGTTTCCTCCCCGCTTCGTGCGCGGCGATTAACTCTTGCGTAAACTCTCTCGCGTCGCTCGTGGGCGCGAATTCGAGCACGCACCTGCCTTCTCGTGTTTTCCCTCTCTCTCCCTTTCTTTCTCGTGTATAATATATCTGATCGAGCGATCTTTGCGCCCGCTTGTAATACTTTTACGTAATCTGTATTGCGCCGTCTGCCCTGTTGGCAAACGCGTACAACAAATCACCGCTTTTAGAAAAGCACGTCGGTGCCAGCGAAGCTCCAACAGTCAAACGGCCAGGGGATATTTCATCGACGAAAGAATGAATGAAAAAGAAAGAGAAAGAGAGAGAGAGAGAAGAACGTGCGCTACGTATTTGGAATGTAAATTTCTAATGATAATTTCCACGGAGGCGACGCGTGTTCACGCGCGCGGATATGACATACGCGGATGTTAAGCGCATCATAAATAATGCCCGCACATTATTTATACCTCGGGACGCGTCATAACTTGTGTCAGTAATCCGTCTTCCCCTTACGGTACAACCATAAGGAAAAGGGAAGAAAATGAGAAACGATTATCCGACGGTGATAATCGTGGAAAGTTGCCATTCGAATGGACTTAGATTAACGTGCGGTGCGCGAGCGAGCTTGTCGAGATTTCTGCAACAAAAGATTATAGTATATCCTACGGTTATTACGATATCTCAAAATGATCTCTACAGAATGTCCCTCAGATAAAGTGTGCTGTGCGGAATCGATACCAGTCCGTTCGCCGGCCGCCGAGGGGAATGCTCTTTTTTTTTTTCGTGTAGCGTCGCGATTGCAACGAACTATGAAAAACTCTCTACGTAACTAGCGGTTTCCTCGAACGTCCATTCGTTACCACGTTAAATGCGCGCGCTAACGAACTCGTTGATCAAGATTAGAACGCGAGACTAGACGTCAAAATCCACTACGTCGTAATCGCGGAAAAGGTCAAGGCCGCGCTACGCGATCAACGGTATAAAATCTCGCAAGCGTGTTATACAGGGTATCTGAAACCTTTTTTGGTATCCGTAGTAGTATGCGGATAGAACGGGTGAAACTGAACAGGAAAGTCACATGCCATTTTGCAAAATACACTTAGTTAAGCCGGGAGCACCTCTCTTGTCTCTTGTCCACAATCTTGCTTTAAAACACAAGCAATAGACAATTGGCGTCTCAAAGCAAGATTGTGGACAAGAGATGCTCCCGGCTTAACTATGTGCATTTATATATATATATATATATATATAATCTTCTCTTGTTCTGCTTTGCACCTTCCCTCACACATTTCTTTTAACGCATTGCAGAAGGAGGCGCAAGGCGGCGACTACGGTCCACCAGGGCATCAGCCAGGACCCATCGACAGTTACGGAGCACCAGGGCCACAGGGTCCCGGTCCCAGTGGGCCTTACTAGCGTCGTCTCTCGTACGAATGATCGACCGTGTCTGATCTGTTATTCTGAAAACTCGGCATTTTTAGAAAAAAGAGAGAGAGAGAGAAAAAGAAGAGGAGAGACACCATTTTACGGAGGACTATTTTCTTCGATCGTTACTTCGCAACGTGACGCGAGTCCGGATATATACCCGACCGGGGACTTCATATATCATATAGGAGGAATGTCGCCTATTATTATTTTTTTCGAAGGATAGGCCGCGTGGTATTTAAAGGTACTTACGGACAGACGTGATTCGTGTACGTTGCCGAGCCTCTATTCACACGTTCGTTCCGCACTCGTACGCGTATGGTTCTCTCGAGCGACTGACCGTACACCGGAGTTGTACACACGCTGGTCTTAGTAGATTCTACTCTCGCAAAAGAAATGTAAACGAATCATTTCGCACGAGACGTCGATATCTCTTTTTGTATGTATCTTTTAAGAAAATAATTGAAAAAAATACATTTTTTTATATCAAACAACATCCAGCATAATTAACTCGCTAATGTTATCCTGCCTTTTCATACACAGACTCTTTACGCATCGCGTCGAGACGTTTTGCTCTTATCTTTCAATCGGGCGACACGTCTCGCGTCTTTCTACGTTAATGTTAACGTAGGATGCTGAGATACTCAGAAGGGGGGGAACGACATACTTATCGACGATGTTTCGTATTAACGCTGAGCGCGTACGATTGACAATTTTTAAACACCGTCAGAATTCATGCGTTCGCGCTTATCAGTTCTAAGTATGACGACATCGCACCGGGGAAATCAGTTGAAATCGTCCTATAGCCTCAATTCTATCGACCAATATACACCTGGTTTCAACACGGTTCCGGCACTTTTCTCTCATTGTGGTTCGGAAAGTAGCCGATTGTTCGATGAGAAAACTCAAATTCTGGGAGTTGATCAAAAACAAATTTTCTCGTTAGACTATTGCTGCTCTCCAATCACCGGAACAAAAAAATAAATATGAACTAATGACTGCTTTTTAGAAGAAAAGGTGATACAAAAAATGACCTCTGACATCGATACAGTAACCAAAAATTACATTTTTTTTTGTCAAATTCTGAGAGTAAGGCCATTTAAGGGGGGAAAAAAATGCTTATTCTTACCCTCTCGGGAAGATTTATTTTTTGATAACATATGTAGCGAATTCTTTTCATAATACTAATAATAACCAATGATTGAAAGTTCATAGGAAAAAAAATTAAGAGCATGAACTATACAGACGCGTTTTCGGAGCAGTTGAGAGACGGAAAATATATACATACAGAGAACGCCACATTTTGTTAACGGCAGTTTAGGAAAAAAAAATGACTATAGTGACCCATTTTAGACGATAATGAATTTTTCTAGTAACATATAAAGAAACGTGGCAAAAGGTGATTTAATGGTTGGACTGGATAGCTGCTATTGGTTGTTTTCCGAAATGTCCGAACTATATTGAAACCAGGCGTATGCACAGTGCTAAAAACAAAACAAAATACAAACAAAAAAAAATCCTGCCTATGCTTACGTGTATTATTTATTCGGTTATCTAAAAACGTGTTGCAATTCGTAAATCTATACGTGACTATCGTCGAAGATGTCAGAAACTGGTCGTATCTTTGATCGACAAATGACGGACGTTAGGCGAAAAATAGCGGTACTACCGATTATTAATATTAATAATTACCGTCAATCCAATTCGATTGCTCAATAAGCGCGCACGTCGGGATGTTTCGAGAGATCGCAAGGTATACCAGTATCTGTACGCTCTTCACTTATAAACCGCTACCGATTATGCGTTTATAATCTGTGATAAGGACTGTGCGCATGATAAAAGCCACATGGCCGCCGCAATATGAGAATAGGTCGTTGTTAGTTTTTTTTCCTCTTCTTTACGAGAATTTACGCAACTGCGAACGTATACACGGTTTGAGAATTGCCTCTCACGATACTCCGTACACTTGATGCTATATAGAACATGAATACGCAGGTATACCGAGTGACCAGTAGGACGTTGTTGAAATTTAAACCGTTACGTATTCCTTTCTTCATCTTCTTTCAAGCGTCTTCTTCACGCTTGTACGTCTCAATATTTTTCGCATATTGTATTCTTCTTCCTTGAGCATTTCTCCCGGCCTTAATTTCAGCAACGTCTTAATCATCATTTCGTATGTACAGAAGGTACCGACTAGAATCTCCCTCTCCGTCGTATTTACATCTAGAGCGATATAGTAGTTGGTAAACTGCGAAATACTGCAAATGAAAATTAGAAATCGCTATCGATAAAATAGACGCTTCTATTTCTTCGGTACGCGTAACTATGCGCGCGCGTACTTACCTGGCTGTAACAATTTGCGCTATGATTATTTCTCTTCTTCTTATTTCGCACTTAGAAAACGACGTAACGATACTTCGTGACGCGATTGCCCTAAACTTAATACTTCGGTGACTGGACGTTCGCCATTCTTATCGCGACACCTAAGTACACGTAGTTGCTCTGTTCTCTTTCAACGTATTTTTTCTCCTCTTTTTCGGAATATTGGAACGCCTGACTAGCCTGTATGATACTGCTGCGAGTATCATGAGCTACTATTCATCCTTATCGCTAAGCAAAATGACACGCGTAAAAACGCGTGACTGTTATTGTGCACTATTCGAAAATTCAAAGGATAACACCGCAACCAGTACAATAGAACTTCAAAACAAACTTAGCTAAATACTACTGGGTATTCAAAAAAAAATTACTGTACAAGAATAACGAGATATTTGGAATTGTCTTATCACGTGTCGCTGGATTTTTTTTTTTTTTTCGAATATAGGTGCTGTGAAATTGAGACTGAGAAACGTCCAAGTATACAAGCCCACGTATACACACACGTACACATATACGCACACAATTCCCGACCAGCGGAATTTCCTCGCGAAAGAACGCGTCAGAGTTTGTGAATCCTCAGTTGTACATTACTCTTACTCACTCTCACTCACACATACACACACACATACAGAATACAACCATTCCATCAATACCATATTTCGTGTGAGCGACGGACGTCACTCAAGGATCTTCACTCTCGACTCGTAATTGCCAAAATATCCGATAATAACAATCGAAAGGTCATTGACAAAGATACCGTATACAATGGCATTTTTGTCGAGAAAAAAAATAATGCTTCAAAGAATTCATAACTGATACGAAATGCGATAATAGTGACCGTACGATGTTCCGGTATATATATTATCTCCTGTTAGATATGCGTTATCACATTCTTTCCGACGACGAAGACTATGAGTAACGCAACACTGTATAACCAATGTCCGTCCTTTTTCGCAATTATACGTCCTTCTTGGATATCGTTTCGCAAGCGAGCGACGCAACAGGGCAATGCTTCAATAATAATATCGGCGCAAAAGAGAGAGATCATATCGCCTTATTCTTCGTGCGACCGACGCCCCGCGTGTCTGTGGCCCAGCAGCCGTTTGATGAACGGCGCGAGCAACGGATAAGAAAGGAAGAACACATGTCCGAGGTAATACAAACTGGCGTGTACGTAGTTGTAACGCGGGTAAGAGAGCAGTACGAACGCCAAGAGGACGTATCCCATGGTGATGAAGGTGTAAAGCTTCAAAAAGATCCAGGCGAGAACACGCGCCTCCCAGCGGGTCTTCAGCATCGTTTGTACTTTCTCGCTGTTCTTCAACACTGGTCCGATCTAGAAGGAACAGCAAACGTGGAACAGGCATTTAGAAGGCGCAGCGCTAATTTTTTTCTTTTATATACCAGGTGACACACTTACGTCTCGCTCGAAGTATGTCACGACGAACTCCATGAAGAAACAGTGATAATATCCAGAGTGGAGACCATGCCATAGAGCGAGAAAGAGCAATGTCACTATCTGGCTGTATATTTTTGATCCTAGAAATTTCACCCTCTTGTAGATATACTCCGCGCACCAGTTATTAGTGTTGGTGTTAAATGAGAGAATGTAATGGTGCATCTGCGTGGCAGTTTCGAACGTCCGTAGCTTCACGTTCGCGCAACCATCCCACTTTATACGACCCTCGTCGTCCTTCCCGTTGTAGGTTAGACCGAAAGTGATGCACACCTGAAATAACCGATAAAACGTCATTTTTATCGCGTACTGCGTATAATTAGAAAAAAAGATTTTCTCTTAATTTTTCTGCGAATTTTCTCGGTTTCTTTCCCGCGAGTGAGAAAAATTCGTAATTATTGCTTAACGTATAATTTCATTGAAATTCTCCACCCTTAGGAAAGAAACCGAAAGAATCGGAAGATTTGGAAAAAAAAACCTCGATTTTTTCCGAGTTTTCAAAACTACAGTATTACGAGTGACAACAGAATCAAGAATACACAGTTTGATGTAAATGTATCTCTTTTGACCATACACTTACCCCTTCCGTGATCAGCCAGCAGCTGACGTATTTATAAAGATTAATCCGACCCCAGAGGCCGACGAGCAATAATTTCTTGATTAAGTTTTTCTTCTGGAACGCCGGCTCAAAGAGATATTGATCGGAAACGTAGAGCGTCCCGATTTGAAACACCGCCACGTACACGAATCCGATGAGAGCTCGCGACAATCCCGCCCACACGCAATCCGGCAGTTTGACGGCACCGGTTTGTGGATCCTGAAATACGAAGCGTGCCAGCCACTTGTCGAAATAGATTCGTCTTTTCTTGCGCGGTTTATAATTAAAAGTAGGCCCCCCGGCTTCCCGACCGAGCGAGGCACCATCGGCCAGACAACGTACACGTTCTGTCAGTTGACCGTCGACGAAGTCCAAGTAACGTCGCATACTGAACTGCGGCCCGATCAGGAATGCGCCCGGAAAGTAAGCGTACGCCGCGATCTCTAACAGGGACGGCCGTTCCTTCAAGACCACTCGTTTCTGGCTGTCGGACAACTCTTCCTGCAACATGAATCGCAATAGTTACGTCGAAATGAACGTGCACAGGAAATACATAGGAAAAGAGATAGGGAAGAAATAGCGTTCATACGTCACGTTTCTGACCATCCCACAAGTTAAACGTGAGTCCTATTAGTCTGAGTGTCAACACGCATTGTGGCATTGTCCATTTGATGTCGTAATCTTCAGTGCTGGTGGTGTAGTAACCTGCGTGAGATAATTACTTCGTTCGAAGTGACTTTATGCGTAGAAAAAAAGAGCACTGGATTCAGGTGAATAATTACTCCAATATTCCTCAGCAAATTTTCACCTGGATCAAGTAAGATATCGATTTGATTCGAGTAAAATACTTTCCAAGCAAATTATCCAAATATTTTCTTAATCCAAATAAAAATTTGCTAAAGAGTATTCGAATGATTATTTACTCGAATCTAGCATCTTTTTCCGTGCAACTTAACATTATCGATAAAGAAGAAACCATGAAAGTAGTTTGAGGGAAAAAACAGATATTAGCTCTATGATAAAAACAATCAAGAGTGGAAAAAGTATTATCTTGATAATATTATAACGACCAACTTTAAAAAATATATATTTCTTATGGCACCCTTTCTCCTTGGCGATAAAGTCATAACAACATTCGACAAATATCGAGTTAGCATCGCAAGTTTTTGGTTCTATATATTATCGCTTTACCGTAAAGTAGATACGTCATGTTGAACAATAATGTTATTATGACGGATAGTCCGGTGCTTCCGAGGATCGTTAAAATGAGATACGTCGCACATACCGCCGTCGATGAATGGAGTATGTTCAGGTCTGCGAAACAATTACAGTTAGAGTTAACCGTTGAATAAATTAGCATACGCGAGTTCCTTATTTTTTTTCTGTATAAATATTAAGACAATGGTCCCGTCCAATTACCGTAATTCCAGTAACCAATTGAGAGACCACAAGCGATGAAAAACATATGCTGCCGAATGGGATCTTTACCATAGAGGGTGTATCTATGAAGAAGCGCAACAGGGAATCCTGGAAACAAAAAAGTTCACTTGCTGTTCTTTACGTATTTACAGCTGTATTATAGATCAGCATCAGCTTCGGCTGAGCTTTGGAAAGCTCTCGAATATGCTTATCATTTTCTTTTCTCTTGCTCATATTTATTGTTTTCGTCGAACGCTCTTAGAATGTCGAGCGCTAGAGCAAAAATAAACGTTATTACCTATCTATTTGTGTCTACATGGAACTCCAATAACGCCTTCCATTTCCGGCTTAAAATGCATTAAATGCAAATATGCAGTAAACGGCATATATATGCATTCACCGTGTACGTTACCGTTGCATTTGATGCGACTGAGTTGCCGATTCTTTCCAAAACTGCCAGTCATGATAAAAAAATTATATATATGCGATGTGCCCGATACTGAATACCTTACTTAACTTCAGAAATGAATGGCATTATTAGAATCACATACATTATCATAGCTAAATCATGTTAATTATTTCAGTAACGGACGTATCGCAATCTTTCGCGTGTAGAGATGGTCTGTTCTTTTCAACTGAACTGGCTGGCCTAGTTCAAGAAATTTTACGCACAATGAAGCGTGAGAATCTCGTACGTACGCTTCATACATCTCCAATGTATATGTAAATTTCCTGGACTAGTTTGTGTAATTTCTTGAACTGGCGCAGTCAGTTCGGTTAAAAAGAACTAAGGATGTCTGTCGCTAAGTGGGATATCCGTTACATACTTGTGGTTTACGTCAATATGAGAAAAATATAGTTCCCTATCATTTTGCAAACGATCATGTAAAATTTTCAATTACTGCGATCATTGAAAATAGATACGTAGTATAAGAGGTTTCTTACAAATTAACTTAAAAATTTGCGTGATTGTTCGCAAGATGATAGGGGACTTTGTTTCTTAACATGATTTAAATTACAAGTGTATGACAGATATCTAACTTAGAGGCGAACGTTTTGTATAGATAAGAGTTTTAAATAAAAAGTCAATATCAAGTTCACACACATGCGATTTGATTCACAAGCGCTCTCATCTATCTCGCATTTATATAACGATTCTAAAATGGCTCGAGTCCGAATTTCAAGTTAAGACCTCTTAACACATTGCATGCGGGTATATTTCGCCGCGGACTTACCGCGTGGTACTAGCGGGAGTTTGGTATTCAGTAAAATATTCAATTGAGCCAAGTAACTCGACAAACTAAATTTCTAAAAAGAAACAATGGAAATCGTTGCCTAGCAACACAAACACAAACACCGTACACACTTACAATGCCCATCGTATTTATACGATACCCGCTCTCCAGCGCAAATCTACTAAATACGTACTTTTATGTGACCCGCGCTCTAGTGACAGACTGCAGAAAACCTCAAAAGTACGTTTCCCGCATGCAATGTGTTAAATTGAATACATTAAGAAAGTGAACATTTTAATAAAGAAGCCGAACAAATTGTTTGTTACGATTAAGTTATTTCACAGATATTATTTTTTACGCATGTGGGATGAATTTACGTAAGTAAATGTTACGTTCATGTTGTATTTATGCAAATGAGCTCAAAATATCCTAACATCAAATGAATCTTTGGAACCGTTGCCCCCATTAAGCAAGAAATAAGCAGTAAATCTCTTGGAACATTGATTTTATATAAATATTACAAATATTTCGACGTAATATTTTATTAAACATCTTTAAACTGTTACTTGATAATATAATATTACTAAATATTAAAATAATCATAATGTGTAGAAATATTATTTTTAATGTTTGGGTCAAATATTGGTATACAATGACATTGTATACGGCATCAAGAACCGCATATTTGAAAATGTTACAAAACGTCATTATAATAACGTTTCGTTAATGATTTCTTGTTCACTGGGATTTTGTCTCTTATCATTTTCTGTATCTGTTGAACATCGTAAAAAAACCACATCGTAAACGATAAAGTTGCACTTCCTGAAAGTGTTATCAGAGATCGGAGAGAGAGAATATCGCGATATATAAAGAGAAATAATGTTAGCTAATGCCAGATAAGAAAATATTACTCGTATTTCATTATTAACCACATTAATCCGTTACTTCAGCGGAAGACGGTAATACTCGTTTATAATACACGCTCAGATTACCAAAACTAAATTTTGCGCGGTCATGCAAAGATTCGATCTAATTAACTCGAGACTATATTATGTCTGTCTGACTTGATAGCCAAATATTGCAAAACTTACGCGATAGCACGTGTACGATCGTAAAAATAAACATATACACGGTGCGTCATAATTTTTATGTTACGTACACGACACATAGGCACGTGTGCTTTTTGCACGCGCGCTTCTTGCTCTTCGCGCTTGCCTTTGCGTTTCCTTGTTTTTATATCAATATGATAATGCAGCATAATCACGCGTTGCGGAATAGGAAAACAAGTAGTTTGTCATGCTGTCGGCGATGTCAAACGAATCACCGTATGTACTCTCGCGCGAGATGAGATGCGATTTCCAACTCTTGTGCTACTTCATCGATACGGCGATGACGCTAATATAATCGTGTTTCCTGAGATCAGCATTATATATTGTTTACGGTATGATACAAACAGTGACGACGGAGCAGCAGTCGCTGACGTTGTCGAGTAAAGCATAATCATACATTAATGATCGGACGCGTGTGTAAGTTTGCAGCGGTGAATCCATACCATTATGGATCAGTGTATTAGCTACGGGCGCGTTGTGTATCGTGCAAGGGAAGGAGGAAGAGGGACGAGAGAAAAATGACTATACACCGGACGATAGAGTTGGCACGATTATAATCGAGATTTCGATTCGCTTTGGCGACTCAACACAATCGTCTTGAAATAATTACGATTTCTAAAACGGGATCGCAAGCGCGCGCGTCTGCGACCGTCAGGTCGAATTTGACGATCCTGCAATCTCTTGTCTATCTCATTGATGTAATATTTGCTACAACGATCGAGTATTTGTGTAACGCGATATGATGCGTTCTATTGACTTATGATAGATACTCGCAAAACTGCATATGGACCGAACTCCACGTTACTCCTACTTAATTCGTTCTTCTTAACGCTTTCCGCATTTTTGCGCACTTAGATTTTTCCTCCTTCTTTAATACATTGCATGCATATATTTCGCCGCGGACTTACGCGTGTAGCGGGCGTTTCTCCGTGAATTTCACGGGAGTTTGGTATTCAGTAAAATATTCAATTAAACCAAGTAACTCGACAAACTAAACTTCTAAAAAGAAACAATGGAAATCGTTGCTTAGCAACACACATGAACACCGTATACACAATGCCCATCATATTTATACGATACCCGCTCTCCAGCACAAATCTACTAAATACGTACTTTTACGTGATCCGCGCTCTAGTGACACTGTCAGTGCAAAAAACGTCAAAGTACGTTTCCCGCATGCAATGTGTTAAAAAAAAAAAAAAGGAAAAACACGATACTTTTCTGTATTCTACACTGAAAAAAGGAGATTTAGAAATTTATTTGTGAGGTATAAAGTTTATTTAACAAAAATAAACGTTTACTTAAATACGGCGGAATGAAATTTTATTCCTGGCAAATAAATAACCAATTAATAAGAAAGCTTAAGTATATTTCACATAAATATATATTTCGTCGATACAGTTAAGTTTTTCTAAGCGATAAATATCGAAGAAAATGTCACGAGGGATATTTCCTTCGCAAAATTTCAATTTTTTTTTTTTCAGTGTAAAAGGAGCTCGTGTTCGTAAAGATTATTTCAGAAAACTTATAATTCNATTGGGGGGGGGGGGGGGATTGGCCTTGTAAATATATTCCAAGTCATAATCGCATACCAATGGATATGTATTTATTGGTCTATATTTTGAACATTCATTTTTATCGATAAAAGTCTCTTAAGTGTGGTTTCTTAACTAATCAGATTCCTAAGTCACTTTTATCGATAAAAGCGAGGATATAAGTCATTACTTTCAATCAGTTCTTAGATCAATGTCGAAATCGAAAGTACCGAGACATCAACCAGATTCTTTCCGAGTCGCCAAATACAGGAGGTCGGTTGTGTATCTCAAAATATGGTGAAAATGATAAAAACGAGCATTTCTTTAATCAAGGAGTCGATTGTGCATGCGAAAACGAAATGAGAATTACAAATATTCGAATAAATTCGCTCACTTTTGTAATTTTCACTTCGGTGAAAAGCAAAAAATTCGATATGTTTCAAAATGAGAAAATTTACAGTTTTTCACGAGTTCACGCTGGAGAAGATTCACGACCACCTGCGAGTTGATCGCGAATCTTCTCCTGTAGCGTGAATTCGTGAAAAAGGTAAATTTTCTGTTTGAAAACATATGGAATTTTCACGCTTCCGCCCTAGGGAAAAATTACATGATCGATACCCAGTTTTGTGATACACAATCGATCTCCAGGTAACTATCACGGCGATGAAAATGCGATAAACCTCACGTGAGATCGCTCGTGTAACTCATGCGAGATAGCTCGTGTAACTTCATATCGAAAGATATCAACCGGTATAATAGGGATACATCCACTTGTATATACATCCAATTTCGCACATATTTATCTACACGAGATGAAAATACTATGAGGCGGAGGAAAGTGACACACACACACACAATCGACCATTCCTATCGATCTCGATCGAATTGCCAAGGAAGCAAACTTCACGGATGAGCGGTCGCGGCAACCTTCGACCGACTTCACGCGGGACTCTCATGACAAGGCATCATTACGAGATGACGAGATAACGCCGCAAAAACACATCACTTCCCGCATAAGACACATATCTCTTCGGATACCCGGACATTCGTCGTATATCACATGGCGTATGAAATAACAGATCTCTCTCGTCCCGTCGCGAAACGTTGCACACCGATCTCGCGACAACGACGGATGAAATGGGGAGGAAACGGAAGAGATACGGGGGAACGCGGAAACTGGATGTTCACTTACCCAACAGGATCGAGACGAGGAGACGTAGAGCGGCCTCCGGGGCGCCCAGGAGCGTCGACAATTTCGCGAGCCCGCCCGGGCTGTACGCCACATGACTGCTGTCCATGGCCGATGACGATGCGTGCCACGTGCGTGTCGCAGCGAGTCTCGCACGACTGTCTGTCCGTTACAACCGCCACATGTAATCCCCACGTTCGCGTGGGAGACCTCGTGCGGCTCACTCCGTCTCTCTTTCTCTCTCTCTGTCTTATTGCAGCGTGGCGTAACAGACACCGATTATTCGCTGGATGCGAGTCAACGTGCGACTAGCTCGCTATCGAGCTCGCGACTGCCGTACGAGAACGGCCAGCCGCCGCCGTTGTCGTTGCCGTCGCGTCCGCCGTCGTCGTCGCGCCGGTCGTCGTCGTCTCGGTTGTTGTCTCGGCCGTTGTCGCCGCCGCCGTCGTCGACGTCGCCGTCGCTGCTGCCGACGCCGTCGCCGCGGCTCTAGTCGCGCTCGCCACTGCAAATGAGCCTCGCTGTGGTCGTCCAACCACCATCACCAACCGCCGCGGCGGACTTTCTGTTGAACTGACCTCACTGTCGCCGCCGTCGTAGGCGTGCGCGCGGGGTAACAACGACGCGGCGCCGCGGGAACGATGGGCGACGCGACCGTAGAGGAGGATAACATCGCCATCTTCTATGTAAATCGAATTAGGACATTGGACGACCGAAGGAGATCCCGCGCGCGCGTCGTTTTTTCTCTCTCCCTCTCGATTGTTTCGAAACGATGCAGAGAGGCGAAGAGAGGGGAGGGAGGGGGATAGAGAGAGAAACAGAGCGGGAAAGGGAGGGAAGGCCGACCGTTTGATCGCGCGTTTCTTCGCCCCCTCTCGTAACGAGCCAAGTGGGACAACCGGGAACAACTGAGCGAGGCCGACGTAGAGACCGACGTGTACAGACGCTCAGGGCGGCAAGGGCGGGTCGGCCGAGCCGTCGGAAACTAGCGTCGCGTCGCGCGGCTTACTTTATCCCGGACGATCGATCGATCGCGCGCGCGCGCGGGAATCGAGACAGCGAATTGAAACGCGCGCGCCTGCGCAATGGCGGCTATTGGCCGACGGACAAGGTCAAGTACGAGGTTGCCTTTTTATACGCGTCCATGAGTATCTTGAGGCACACACAGGTATGAATACAATCGGATATCGGAGCCACGTCGGAAACTTTGATCTTGGAGCGATTTTGCGCGTCGGCGAATCGCACTCCGTGAATTACAGGTGTGAAATCGCGGGTGAAGTAAGTTCGAGGCGATATATCGAGGGGAGAGTTTAACGTCCCGCGCTGTGCTTAACCGACGCTTTCTCCGCGGGAACTCAAGCACGGCATGCGCACATGGGCATTTCTAATCACTTTCGCTCTTACTCTTGCCCCCGTCGCCCGACTGTCCGGGTGAAATCGCGCGGCAAAATCGCCCGACCGGGTGAAACTGACCAGAATATCACCCCGAGCCCATAAATAAGTCTTAAGGATGTTCTATGAATATCGTATCTCGCGCGGCACAGACTTCCAAGGGACGTCTTAAAGACATCCTGCGTCCTAGTCCACATTAGTTGCTTCAAGCCCTAAACCTTGATAACAAAAATTGGATGTATTATATTTTGCTGCGCTTATACGGGTGTCCCCGCGTGGTATCGAATAAACGTACACGGTCGGTGGCGAGCCTGTTACTTCGCGCGTATATTTGGCTCGAGATACGACCGTGTCTCTTGATCCTGTAGCGGTCACACAACCTTCTCCTAGCCATGGTCACCGTTGCTTGACTTCGATAATCGAACAGGAATTTCCAGTGCCAATAAACTCTGAGGAAATTTCATGGATTATGCTTGTAAAATCGAACCGGATTTGCTTATACACTAGTGGCATACTTCGTTAGCCGGCGTTAAGCCAGCTGTACACGATATGGCAAATGTAGGCGAATGTTGGCAATTATTGTATATAATTATGTAAAATATATTATTTATGTTATATTATGTTATATTATTGACACATGTAACATCATCGTGTATGTTATATTCTCCCAATATACGTGATCGATATAAATTGCTAACGTTCGCCAACATTTGCCACATTGGCTTTGTACTGGCCATTGTTGGCTATCGTTGGCCAATGTTGAGCCAATGTAACGCTAATGAAGTGTGTTACTGAGGTAATATATTCTTATATCGATCAAAAGTTGTAATGGCATATTTGTTGGCGAGTATTGGAGACAATGCAACAATATCTAACATCGACAGATATTGATATAATATACACTATATATATGGATATATTCTGTACATAGTTACATATGAAGAATATATGGATATATTCTGTACATAATTACATATGAAGAATTTTTTAACGGACGAATATATGCGTGTCCGAGATACGATATACGAGAAATGTATAAGTTTTCAGAATATATCCACAGTATGTTCAGTATGAAAATAATATATGTAAATGATATTACTTGTGTTGTCTGAGCTACCCACCGTAGATGATCGATAATAGGAGGACGGGGGGTGAGAGGAGGTGCGTGCTCGCAGATCGAGTCGCATTGATCATAAATTCCGTCTTATTTGTGATCTCGCGAAATAAACTTGAGTAACATCATCATCATCATATATTTATGTGTAGCGTAGCATTGCGGGTATGCACGCACGTGTGCGCCACGTGCGAGATCGCGGAGGAGCCCGCGAATTGCACCCCCCTTGTAAAACGCGTAACTATCACAGAATAAATATGGTCGGAAAACCCGCGAAGATTCGGTAACCCGCGAGATCGCCATTTCACCAAGCACCGACTCTTATACGCACACAGCTTTCGTTTGCTCGCAGGTACATACGCGCGCACACACATACACACATTAGCGCACACCTCAGCACGCACACACACCCGGACACGCGTCCTTCTTTCCTTCCTTCCTTCCTTTTTTCATACGATTGCCGCTTTGGTTCGCTTTGGCACACTTAGAGCATTATCGGAACTCGACATAGATTCACACTTTTCTGGCTTTACGTCTCCCTCGTAAAATATATACGCGCATAATTATCGCCGAATATAATGCTTGGAAGAAGCAAGTAAGCAGAGATCCGCATCGGTTGTCGCATCGCGCGCGCGTTATGGAGCATTTACGAAAACAAGTAAAAACCTCGTGAAAACAATATCGTGAAGAGAAAAGCAAACACCGTAAAAACGATATCACAGGGGAAGTCGTGCTTAGAGTCTTTTTGCTTCTAGACGTCGCAGATTGTGCGTTTGTGCAACGCGTCATCCCACGAGAGCGGAAGATAAATCGGAAATCTCTCTCTCTCTCTCTCTCTCTCTCGGCACGATTACCTAATTACAAGAACAACATATACATACGTGCAGCTCTCTTCTTGTCTCGGATATCCTGTATCGTATTTACATGCACACGTGTTTACGCGTTTGATATCTAAATCAATAACAGTTATCTTAGTGTTATTTTATTAGAGCGAGTAACGACCGTAGAGAACAACCATAGAACTCACAACCACGTACTACTTATCGAACCATTATACGTCATTATGAGCGTGTATTTGAAGATCAGAGTAGGAACTTGAACCAAGCAAGTTTTAATTAAAGACACGATGTCACGGTGGTTTTCCCTTGTAAGAAAATATATATATATATATGTGTGTATATTTACGTATTTGGATTTTTCTTACGCTCTCGTGACGTAACAGCCACTTGTAACTTAAAGTTTACATTTTAACGGAATGTGTACAAATTTCTTTCTCTCGGCTGGCTCAACGAGACACATGTTTTTCTTCTATACGGGCAATCACCGGCAAAACTACGGGAAAGTGTGTGCGTGATAGCGTGATTGATCGAACACGCGCTAGTCAAACGTGAATGTATGCGTTGCGTATACCTGTACTTTGCGGAAGAAGAGGAGCCACGGAGTGTGTTCATTTAATGTCCTTTTGATGTTTATCTGAAGAAGTTTCCCGGAAGTTTCAGAATTTAGAAATAAATGTTCAAGATGTCGTGCGGTCAGTCACAAACAAAGTTGCAGCACCTTTCTTCTCGTAAGTTTCGAAACGCATCCCGTGTCCAGTAGGAAAATTGGTTTTTCATTTAATTCTCGGAGAATACATTTTCCTATTGAATATGAGATGTATTGTGAAACACATCGGAAGAAAAATGTTGCAACCTTCTTCTTGTGACCATACATTGTCGTAAGTCACAAATTAATATTTTTATGACTGGAAAAAATTAATATTTAATATTAATTAATATTTATTATTAATATTTCTGTGATTGAAAGAAGAAAGAACTAGCTTTTGCAGATTAGCTTGGAGAATTTTTAGATGTAGTTTTTAGATGTATGATTGGAAACTCGAAGAAAAATTAATGCTATATCTCTCGTTTCTTTCTAAAGTACAGATATATATTTGTGCATATACGCATATTTCATCGAATATAAGTATATGCACTATTCTGTCCTTCTGTCTCATCGTCGTTCATTACATTCGTCGTGTATTTGCGGACGAGAAACGTCACGTTTTCGAGACAAAAGGCTGTTTCGATACACATCTCAACTTTATAGTTTCTTATCTTAAATATAGGCATTATCTTTCTTTCTCTATTCATATTCATCAAATATACGCAAGTACACAGGTAAACGTATTTGATTCTTCTTCTTATATACTATAGGTACGCGAACGTGCGCGATAAATACTTTCTTTATACGTGGTCTTTGATTCGTGTTAATTATGTAAAGCGTCATTTAGGAAGCGGAAATTGACTTTCGCCCCGTGATTGTGCCGTTTTCACTATAGCTTTTGACATTTTGATTCTTTATATATTCCTTGGCCTTTCCCCTTCCTCTCCTTCCAAATTCAAAAAATAGTCCCGTTTATTCAAAATCTTCCATAAAACATTAATCAACCGAACTTTTTTAACGAAGAATATGGAATCCGAATGATGATTGTACCAGCGCGTAAGATACTTATGCAATCATTCTCTCGCTGCTTTAATCTACTGTATTCATTTTGATTTTGTCCTCATTGCGAAACAATACGTTGAACTCCTTAAAACTTGCTTGTGTTGTGCAACTAGATAATCTTAAGTGCAGAGAGTTTTACGTTCGTAAAAGTATTCTAAAAATGAATAACGTCTTTCTCTTGCCCTGTTTTTCTTGTAAGAGATCAAATGTAATGCGCGTGGAAAATGTAAGCAAGACGCGACTAGAAATTTAAGCAAAATCAGGCATGGAGGCGGTTCAGTTGTCAAAAATAATGAAAAGCGTGAGCTTCATTCTTGAAAAAGTAAGAAAATAGTGAATCTGCCTTAAAAAAAAAAGAAGTGAATAAAAAGGAAGTCTTTTTTCAAATAATTTGTACGTTAAAGAATAAATTATCCGTTATACCATTCTTCTGAAAGATTAAAAACATTCACCTTATAATGGAAGTCAGACAGATCGTGGACAGTCCATTTCACTACGTAATTTGAAGAAAATATAATCAGTTGTGCTGATGCCGGTTAGTCTGCTTTTCTAATAAACCTGATAATAATAGCTTAAAAATAAAATCATGTGCTTTCTGTACGTAATTTTCCTTCATATGAGTTCTCTTTATGAACATTGTGTTTTCAAAATCTCACCGTTACTTTTTATTTCCTTTGAATTTCTTGCTTTGTCTTTAAAGAAGCTATAGTTACTGAACACGTGATTTCTTGTGATCGAGTTTTCCTGAAAGAGCTCCAATAGAGTAGGAAGACAAAAAAAGTGATAAAAGCGAGTTTTTTCTGTGATGTGAAAAAACTGATGTTTCTAAATAAGTGAAAAAACCGATAGGAAAATTGAATCGCTCCAATGCCTGTTTAGATAAAACGTGACACCACGCGACGCGACGCCAACTCATCGATAGTAATTTCATTCGTCCTGCGCGAATGTTTGAACAAATATGTATCTCTTAATCTCTTTCGACGTTCAATTATATTAGTCCCTTATTAAGAGAAAATACAAACATTGTGTGTACGTGTGTGTAGGTGTACGTACGTTATATGTCATGTACATACACATATACATATATATTTATATATCTTCGTTTATAAACCATTTGTCTGTCGTTTTTTTTTCTTTAAAAATATAATGAGATTTTAGCTCACGCGCGTTCTATACGTTAACGATCTACTCACAATTATCTCTAATCACAAGACTACTACTCTTTAAAATTCACGCATTCCGTAACTACGGAAGTCCCCACCCCCTGTTAATTCCGCTCCCGGAATTTCATTCGAGAGGCGGGAACTCTGCATTCGCTATATATTTCATATCTAATAATAATAATTATTATATCGCAAGTTTTTTCAATAATCAGATTGGTACGTTAAAATTCTCTCTAACGATGTGCGTCGCAGAAAAATCAATTAGCCACTTTCACTTTATACGTGTATATATATATATATATACACATACCGATCCCTAAGCTCATTGCAGACGCAAATTGCTGAATTTGCGTGTGATAAACATCGATCTGGGTCACTCGGTTAAGTGGCGGAACGAGCAATCGCGTATCTATCGCCGATCTTCGGATTTCTCGCTCGTGAGCCGCGAATCCTATATTGTTTTCACTGCTTCCTCAATTATATCGTAACAAGCGTGCGTTCGAGACAAATTTCCAACGATGTGGTGCGTGGTGACGTTCGAAGGAAAAAAACGGTTTAACATAACTACATATTCCTCGGGTCGCTGACACAGAACCCAGTATCATTCTCTGTAAATTCGCGTGTCCCGCGCAGGAGTAGCGATTCTACACGGATCTTTTTTCACTCGGATCTAATTTCTCTCACGAAGAACAACGCAGTGGTAAACAACACCTAACGAATGTGTAGTCTCGAGTGTACATACACACACACACATTTATTTCGAAACCTGTTCTCGCCCTCGGTGTCAACAGGACGTCTTCGTAACGTGAAAAACCTATTTGTCAATACACGCTACACGATGTAGGATAACCACTACTCTCCTTAGAACCGGTTTTCGAATAGTTTTAGTACGGCCGTCACTTTCCACGTCGCAGTCGTGATTCCTTCGTGTATTTGAACGGTGCATTCTGTCACAGAATAAAATCCTGCTCTGTCCGGGCGACCTTTTTCTCGGTAGAAACAATGTTTTCCGCACGCAAGCCGGGTATAAAATTCTCGTTTGAGAGCGCGTTTGAAACAATTATACGTATCGAATAGACACTCCGGGCCTCGGAGTAGGTCGGTGTCGAGAGAAAACCCCGGTTTGCCATCGGTATCATTACGTACTATTACCCTACTTTCGCGCATCCTTCATCTCCGAGCGGACGTCACCGATCTTGGCTACTAGTCAATCTTAATTAATTTTCGATTTAAATTAATTCCCCTCCCGTGTGTGTGTACTCGTCTCTTCTGAACTCGCGCCATACTTTCGATCGAGATCTGGCTGACTGACTTACGACTAACTGGAGGAGAGACATCGCGGTCCTCGTCCCGGCGACTTACAAGCCGGACTCCGTGCTGGCGGGAATCAGGTTTGCGGGCGCCGTGGTGATCGTCATCGTCGTCGCGTTTAGCAGTATCGTCGTCGAGTTGCCGACGCAATACGGCATTATCTTGCCGTGGGAGCAGGAGCCGGAGGTGCTGCTGTTGATGATGATCAGTAGCAGGCCCGAGATGGCGGCGAGGATACCAGCGGTCATCAAGCCGAGCGCCGGAAGCTTTTTCGCTGACAAGACGGGCCCTTCCTCGAGCTTGAGATAGCACAGACCGGGGAGGATGTAGGCGAGCGGCACGGCGGCGAGGATACCGTTTAACTCGAGCACGACGCCCAGGCAGTCCGTTAACATCGAGATCAGGTAAGCCACGGATACTATCGTTAGAGTGATCACCAGATACTTGCGATCCGAGTTAGGTATGTACGCCTCGTGTCCCTCCAGCTCGTCCGTGCCTTTGATCGCCGTCATGATCACCTGGAGAAGCGGCAGTTAGTGCTCGGGGGGTTCTCGGTTTAGCCGCTCGGGACGTGTGAAGGGGAAAGAAGGGAAAGCGCGAAACGGAGAGAGAGATTACCTCGCGTGTGACGAAGCACTCGATCGGAAACGTGAGTAATATCGTGCCGCTGAACATGACCCTGGCGAAGTTCATCAGGTCGTCGTTCCAGCAGTAATTCTCCATGAGATCGCCCTGGACGTAGGACGTGAAGGTGGCGTAGCCGACGATCCCGAAGGCCGCGGCGATCAGGAAGGACGTGAAGAGGGACCAATGCGTCACCACGTCCCACTTTTGTTGCGTCGCTCTCTCGATCGAGCCGTAAATCAGGAAGGTATTGTGGTGGCACATGAACGCGAACGCCATTATACCGATCGCCGGAACGACCCCGGGGAAATTGGCGAACCTCCAGCTATCGGTCCGACTGGGGCTGCAATCAATCATGTCCGCGATTACGTAAGCTGTGCCGTTCAGTTATTATTGTTATTTGTCTGACTGACGCGTCCACGATCAATCCTACGCGGGACCTCCGGCAGATTGTAACGTGGTCTCGCGTTTTGCGGAATAATGAGGTGAAGGGAAAATCCCTCAGGTAGATTAGAAAATCACGATGACGTCGAAATGACGAGAGAGATGACTGTGAAAACTTATAATGAGAGAACATTTATTTATTTATTTCGGTGATATTTATGGGATTACGTGACGAAATCTTACATATTTGTGATACTGCAATTATGTGGGTATATTTGAGAAAATACATGTAGAAATATAATCCTTTAAATAAAATTTTGGTAACTGCGCAATTAATTCAAATCATTTCAAAATAATATTCGTGTTAATATAGTATAGGCAAAATAGTAGCGACATGGTAAATCATCTTGGCGAGATATTTACAAAATTAAATTTAGAAGGAAATTACCCATTGATTATAATAAATAATAAATAATAAATATTGTAGGTTTTTCTATTGCTTTTAAATGTTGAAATAATGTATAATGATAATCCCCCAAAAATATCCCAAATTAGATTTGTCTAATTGTGAGCAAATATCGTATTGAAATTTTATTCAGACAAAACCATTGCGTTATATAATATGAATCAAACGCAATTATTACAAAATTTTTCGCCAATTCATGCTATTATGATGATGCCAATGAGAAAGCTAATATTGAAACGATGTCGAAACGTCGTGTTGGATGTTGAAATTAGCTCAATAGCGCTGGCAAGGATAAAAAAACTCGACGTTCGTTTGAGTTTCGAATTATTTTCGAGTTGCTTTTTATAAATTGACATGAATGATAGATAGCCACTTCTATTACTGTTTTACTCAATTTTACTGCTGTAATTCCTGTTTACTGCTGCAACATCCATTTATACGTGAAATTTCGATTCGAGATCGAAATGATTTCAATATGATACTTTTGATCCGATATCGAAATTACTCATCGATTCGATATAGTTTTGACGTTGATTCGCGGAGTCATTTTTTACTCGGAAGAACTAAAAAATTGATGAATTTCTGTAGATTCTTCAAAGTTTCACAGCTCCTACATTAATCGGCAATTAGGAAATTTATCTACGATCGAACCATACGCGCCAATAAAACATTTTCATCGCGATATGTTGAATTCACGCTGTTTTAAATGTTAAAAGTTCGAAATTTAGCTGCTTTTGATGCAAAGAATTGCTCAAAATCAGCTGATTTCGATGTTGAAAATTTCGTGAAACCGTGCCCATCCCTGAATTTCGCATCGACGTCGGATTTCTACCTCTTTTTGATCGGCCAAATTGCGATGTCATTTCGATATTATTTCGACTTCTTACTTCTCACCAGGTATTGTGCGATATTTCCTATCGGAGTTGCCCGCATAAGTGAAATATAATAGTAATTCCTCGGGAAGCACTCACACTACAGCGGACATGGTGTCCATCCGAATGAAGATCGCGAATAGGATGAATGCGACGCAGACCAGCGATAGGAAGGAGATCTTCGCTAACCGCGCTACGTTTCTATAGAGACAAAGCGGAATGGTGACGCCGAAGGTCGCCAACAGGATGACGACTTGTCGGTGCGCCAGGATATTCGTCTCCTGCATGCCCGTCACTCTTATCAGGACCTTGGTCACGGTGTCGCCGACAACGACGTTGTAAGAGACCATGGCTGCAAAATAAAAACGTATCGCGCGACATCATACGTCTGTTCGTTCACAAACGGAAAATGAAAAGCAATTCGGAACGCCGCCGTTCTGGCGAGACGAGGTTTTGCATACCTATGAACGGGTAGACGAACTGCAACGCCGTGAGGATGTAGAAGCCGGCGCGGCCGAAACTCGCCCGCATCAGACCCTGGTAGCTCATCTCGCCGCAGATATGGCCGCTCCGCACCATGAGAATTAGCGAGTAGTCGGTCAACGCCGCCACCAAAATTAACAGGCCGATGCCGAGGCCGAAGCCGGCCTGGTGCAGAGCGTACGGTATTCCTGGAAGAAAATTACCGTCGACTTCTTTTCCGCTCGTTCGTATCATCTTTCACGGGAAACGATTCGACAAATTGCATGCGATGTTGACGAACAACGTCGTACAGGTGGGTAAATCGAACGCGCATTATTTTCCTATATCCCCTTCAGACTGATAGAACGGAAAGCATGAAGAGAAAACTCAATCCGAACCGCAACTGAATAGGGGCCGGATGGAAACTCCGTGAAACAAGAGATGCTGTATCTATTACCGCGACGGAGAATATTAAAACAAAAATCTCATATATAATTATGTACAGGGTTTGGTGAACTTCTTTTTTAAAATTAAGTTACTGACCTGTACAATTAATTTAGTTAAGCTGAAAGTAAAAAAACGGAAACTAACTAATTAAAAGTTTAGTTAAAATTAAATTAACTTATTAAAGTTAAAATTGAATTGTGCAAAACTATATATATATATAATTTAGAAGAAAAATAGTTAAGTTAGGTTTATATATAGTCTCGCAAAACTAATTACTAACTTAAGTTACTTTATCCAACCTTGATCATATATATAAAGTTTTGAATAAAGAAATAGTTTTGCCTGAGTCGCGTGAACATTTTCAGCTACGTTAAAACTCGGTTAAAATAATCGAGTTTTTCCCCAGCCAGCGGAAAATTCGGCTACAGCAACGGAATTATTTTATCCGCGCATAGAAAATAAATCTGAATTCCTACAACTGAATAGAAACCAGATGAAACTTGGTAACGAGAAATGATATCTTTGTCAGCACGACTGAAAACATTCGCGTGAACATTCAGCTGCGTTTCGCAATCGAGTTTTTTCTCTTACAATCGTGTTTTCGTTCGGTCCGTGGGCAACGGAAAATTCAATTACACCGACGAATTGTTTTTTTCCGCGTGATTAAGAAGAAACGCAAATTCATATCACGCCACAACCTCGCTTGTATTTACCGATAACACCGCTGCCGATGATGGAATTGATGAAATTGAAACTTGCCAGTGGCAGACTGCTGAATTTGCCAGACTCCTCCTCCTCCTCCTCCTCCTACGGCAACACACGAATTACTGTATGAGCACGACAGACGGTAACGTGTAATTAGTTTCATGAAGCAAAGCTAATTATAATTACGCCGCATGTTCTCGCACGAATATATTCCGCACTCGTATATTTCTATATATAATATAACCAATAAACATCAAATATTGAATCAATCTTTTAAAACATTGATTCTGGGTTTTATCAACATTTTGACATAATATTTTATAAATATTTTTAAACTGCTATTCGGTAATATAATATTCCTAAATATTAAATTATTTTTATATTAAAATTATTAAAACTATTTTTAATATGGGTCAAATATTGTTAACCGTGACATTGTATATGATATTAAGAACTACATATTTGAAGACATTACGTGTTACAAAACATCACTATAATAACGTTGTGTTAACGGTTTTTTGTTTACCGGATAATATGCGTGTGTACTTTTATAGCATTAAAAATATTAACGGAGCGCATATGAGCGAAGAATATTCGCCGAGCGAATATGCCGCGTCGTTCGGAGGCTCACAGCTTGTTTATAAATTCAGCTGTCAAGCCGCTCGGAACGAGCGGTTACACCGCGACCGCGTGTACGGTAGCCAGCGGAATAATTCGGTGCGATACCAGCGAGCAAAAGGGCGACGGCGATAAAAGCGAGTGCTGCTCGGCCGGCGCAAAGCGAAACGATAGCGCACGTGCTAAGCCGCTTGTTAGGCCAATGATTGTGCAAATTGGCGAATATCGAAAGAGCATCGCCCGTTGACCGTTGAAACAACAGAGAGTGCTGGGAACGTCAATAGGCCAACTATCGAGGTCGCACGTTGATCTATTACGCTTAATCCGCCGACACGACATACGTCTGCCGTTTTTGTGAATTAGAATGAACACAGCGACTGCGTTAATTAATCGTTCGTCGCTAACTGAGCCCCAAGAGACTGCAATTCGCGACAGAAGTCGGAACGCGGGCTTCTACTCGCTGCAAGGAAAAAGAATTGGCATCAATTCGAGATCCATGTTCTCATAAGCGAGAATACATAATTTTCATTGAGAGGAAAAATATTGGATACAGAAGAATGATATCTTTAAACGGATGTAATTAAAAGAGCGACTACAGAATGTCGCAGAATAACCGCATGTAGCACCGGAAGATTCTTGGTACCGAACGAAGTCATTTTTCGTTTATTAAAATTTTGTTCAATGATAGTTTTTAAATAAGAGCTATTTTAAGTTATCGAATTAGCGTGTTAAGTTGCGCATAAGTCAAGAACGAAACCACGAAATATCGTGGATGTAAATTGTTTCTATTCTATCTTACTAAAGATTTTATTACGAAACTGTATTTATCTGTATTCATCACTATTTTAAATAAAACTTATTTATATAAATCATTTGTACAAATTCTATCGACCTTTTTCAAACTTTACAGAAAAGTATTACTAGCTACGATAAATGGGCTAGTGATACATTGTTGCTACCCGAGTAACAAAATTTATCACTGGCCAATTTATCACGGCCAACAATATTTTTCCATAAAGGAATACCACAAATATTTTTAAAAGGTTGGAAAAATATTTTGTATACAAAATTATTTGTATGTCGTTTATGTATATTATTTTATTATTTATTGTTATTTTATTATTTTATTATTTGTATTTATCCTTTTAGTGGCACCGGTAAGAAATTATTTCATATTAAATAAATATTATTTGAATTTACCGTTATTTCGAATAAAACTTATTTGATACGAAAGAATTCTTTATCAATATCACTGAAACAACAAATAAAGTAATATGCTTAAACGACGAACAGATAATTTTTATACGAAATGTTGTTCCAACGTTTTAAAAATATTTGTGGTTTTGAGAAAGATCAGTAGAATATATAATTATATAAATTATTTATACAAATAATTAAATCTCATTTAAAAACTATCATTCGGGCGAAATTTCGGTAAACAAAAGGTTGTTTTGTTTGTTACGAAAAATCCCCCCACTCTGCATGCGGCTATTCTGGGACACTCTGTATGTAGAATTTCTCAAGATATAAGATTACCTATTCTTGCTTATACAGAGTGTCTCGAAATTTCAGTACGCGAAGTGTACAGGGAGATTTTTTATACCAACTAGAAATAACTTTTTCCTTCACCAACATTGTGTTCAATAGAATCCGAGAAACAAGCAATTGAAGAAATAAGAAAATTTTTCGCGAGCTAAACCTTAAGCAAACAAATGAGTAGCAAAATTATCTTTCTCAGTTAATTCCAAGTAGACTTTACTCGAACAGAATTTTAATCGAAGATTTAGCTTCGAAGATGTGTTATGTCGACAATTGAGAAGTTTATAAATAATGCTTATAAATAATGACCTTCGACATTTTCATCAAAGATAAAGTTATTTCTTCCAGTATGAAAAATCTCCCTTACACTCCGCGTGCGAGAACTTTCGGGCATCCTGTAGATGAGAATATGAGTCTTGATTTGATACAATTTTTTCTATATCGAGAAAAACATTCGGCGGATTAAAATTCAATATTCCGCCAGAGAGGAATCTGTCCTAAATTCTATCGTGAGTTGCAGAACGTTCAAAGCGAGCGTGAGAATGATAAGAGTGAGCAAAACAAGAACTGTAATTCTTACCCCGACCAGTCTTCTCATGTCATCGTAAGATTCCTCCGAACCGAGGCTACCGCCCTGTCGAAGTTTCGGAATGTTGAGTGACAATCGAGTGGCAATCGTGTGCGGTACAATTGCGAAGCATGATTGAGTATTTTCACACACACACACGACATCGCATCGTCGAAGAGTTTAACGCACGATCCGATCCGATTCTCGTTTGTTTAACGCACTGTACGTGGGTGTTCCGGCACCCACACGAGCATCTTTACTGACAGTTTTAGACGGATGTGAGTTCCTTGTGGAAGAATGCAATCAAGAGACCGTCTGAGAGGAATCACGAGGGCGAACGTATCGGAGAAAAAATGTCATCGCGGACTTTTCTCGTAATAGAGTTACAACTGATGAAAGAACGTTTCTTTTTAGCACGAGAGATAAATCCTTTGAGTCTGCGGAATATATTAATGAGAGAATATTAAAATTACTTCATATATGTAATTAAGCATATTCCATTGATACTATTGGCAACATTTCTAGAAAGTTTGATATGGAAGACGTTGACTTAGCGCGTGAGAAAGAGAAACTCGCAAGCGATCATACTTTGCGATTTGCGCGATTAAACGGCGAGAGTCGGACGGATCGCGAAGATCGGCAAGAACCGAGTTCTTTTCCCCGTGTTTAAACCGCGAATGAAGAGCGAGGATCTTGCAGAGGGATTAGGATTAACGAGGTGGACGAAAGTGGAACGGAGCTGCGGAAACTTTCCCACAGTATTTATACCCGCTCGAAACTGTACGCGTTCACATCCTGGAAATACGGATCCTTGTGCGCACCCAATAGACAGAGATGCTCAACATAGTGTGCAAACATTTAATGTATGCTTTGTGACGTCATTGCAACAGCGTGTGTTTAAAATATACTTGTTTGTTTTTAAAAATATTCACTTATTACATCATAATTTTAATCGAAGTATTGATTTCATATTATTGCAATAATTCCAGGTTAATTGCATAAAATAAACAGCAATATTTCTGGTATTAGAATATCGCCACAATTTTTCACAGCATCAGATGGTCTTTTGCATACCGACAAAATGCTTGTTGTATGAAGGACGCATCTTGAGTTACACCGCAAAATATATCAGAGATATAATCAGATATCTTTATGCCTGCAATTTCAAGCTGTATCTGAGAAAAAGACATCTCTGCCACATTTGCATATGACTGTGGCCGATATTAAGATCTTACATCGTTTGGATATCTCCGTGATATCTTGATATTTCTTTAAATGTGCGATATTTCGATATTCAGATATTTTCCAGATATCTCGACTGTTCCTGATATATTCGACTGTGTGGGCACACTGGGGTCATTATGGACCACAGTCGACTCATATTTTCTTTGCGTTCTTCTTTATATTTTCGGCAAAATAAAATATCTTGATGAAAAAAGAAAACATTCACGATCGTTCCTTTACGTAATTCCATTCTGCAGACTTCCAAATATATTCATGATTTTTTACACATTCTTGTCAGTACTTTTGCAAACTTTAAATAAGCGAGGACACAAATGACCTCAGTGTGCCAGATTAAGGTGTGCCAAGAGATATCTGCACGATTAGAGTTAACGTTCTTATGCTGGTCACGATGCAGAGACAATATACTGAAATATGTCTGTCTGGGCACGTTAAAACAACCTGGAAGTTATGCGACGGACGAGCTCTCGACGTGCACCAGGTGTTATCCCGTCGGCGGCGATGCACGCGAGATTCGCTCGTTTCCCGAACATTTCCTCGCTTCCGACAGTACGAGTTCCGGAGGGATAAACGGTGCAAATTGAACGGAGAGAAAGAGAGATCAAACATACAATCAAAACATTCTTCAACACAATTAATCTGTCACGGACGCTCGTCGCGAGTGCCACGACAGTATCACGCGGAAGTGGCGAGGAACCGGAAACCGAAGGCAAGGCCGAGACGTCGAGTCGGTCTCGACCACGTCCCGTCGCTCTCGCTCGAGTAGCACTTTACTCACGTCCTCGAAGTTCTTCTTCGCCGCCTCCAGGATGTAGCTCTTCTCGTTGACATCGTCGGACGCGGCGTGGGCCATCCTGCTCCGTCTTCGGTGTCGGAGGTCGTCGCAAGTCGTACTCGCGCGCCAAGAGAGGTCGGTCTAACTAACGGGGAGAAATGACAAGTGCGAAAAAACGTGCGGAACTTAAAGGGAGGAAACGAGTGAGTGAGTGAGTGAGTGAGTGAGTGAAAGAGAGAGAGAGAGAGAGAATGTATGTGTGTGTGAGAGAGAGAGAGAGAGAAGGAGAGAGCGGCTCGGGCAGGTCCGTGGGACGTCTGAAGTTCCGGCCTATCTTCTGCCCCTTCCTCTACGGCTTTTCACTCCCGTCCTTCCCCTCTGCGACTATCTGCGTTCTCTCTCTCTCTCTCTTTCTCTCTTTCGCTGCTCCCCTCGCGTTTTCTCTCTCCCTCTGTTGAACGGGCGCTCGGGCACGCGTGCGCATATATTTTCAGTTTCGCCAATTTCTCCCGTCTCCATGCCTCTCGCTCTATCGTGGAACCCGGCCGTTCTCCAACCCCTATTTCTCGTCCTCTCTCTCTCTCTCTCCCCCCGGCGCACTGGGTCGCCGGATTGGCGACCGACCGACGTTCGTACTTCTCTCTTGCTCGCTCACCCTTTCGCTATCCCCCTCTCTCTCTCTCTCTCTGCCGTCAATGTACACCCACGTACGCGCGACCTATTCTCACCGCGACCCTTTTCTCTCTCTCTCTCTCTCTCTCTCACACACCCCCTCTTCTCATTCATTATATCGTCCTACCCTCGTCGTTCCCTTTTCCCTCTTCCTCTCCTCCCCTCCGGCTGGGCGACCGACCAACCAACCGCGCGTCCCATTTTCCTTTCCATTTCACGTGTCTTCGTTCCCTCGAAGCGTCGAAGTGCGTGCGACCAGGAGTTTATTGATTCCTGCGGTCGCATATATCTCCTCTCGAGACCCCTCCCCCCGTCGTGCGACTCCCCGCGTTATGCGTACTGCACACATTCCGTTGCATTACTTACGAGGCGCGTAAGCGCGCGCACTCCTCCTCCAGCTTGAATCGTTACGCGCGCTCGTGGGTGTTTACGTTCTCGTCATCACATACGTCGCTACGTAAACTCGCCCGGATAAAAACGCGTAATGATCATTGGTTATCACAATGTGTGATTGTCGTACTATGATTTCGACTTAATTGACCCTTTTAAGGATCACCACGTGATTAGTGTGAATACAAGATGTACAAAAATGAGCAAATGACGTGCGAATATACATTCTTGATATGATTTTGACTGATGCTCTTGGATATTTAGATGTATTTCGATGACATCGTGACGTAAGTGATGTCTTGTTAAAAAAAAACCAGATGGGAATCCACATAGGAAATTCATGTGGAATTCCACAGTCGCCCCTGGGAACTCGACGCGGAACCTCGACCCAAGTTTTAGATAACAATCTATATGAATCTCTATATGGATTTTCACACCCCCCTCTGGATTTCTATATGGATTCTAATATCTTATATATGGATTCGTACGAGGGTTTCCGTGGGAACCCACGTGAAAATTTTTAATGAAAGGAGGGGGGAGGAGTGAGCAGCATATGCGCACGTATTTGCACGCATTTTTGGGATGATCGATCTGTTCTCTTTCTAGCTGAATTTACGCACACTGAAGCGTGAGAATCTCACATGTACGCTTCATAAGCTTCAATGTGCATGTACATTTCTTGAACTGGTTCAGCCGAAAAGAACAGACCACGTACGTTACGTCAATATATGAACGCACGTTGAGCGCTACATGACATCTCATTTTACTATCTGGGCGTATATTGACGGCTTACCTGAAGAAAGAAATTATCATATTAAGCGGGGTCTACAATGAGAATTTAAGCTCAGAGTCTTAAGAAATTGGCCAATCACAGTCGAATGTGAGGAGAACAATCGACTGTGATTGGTCAATTTTGTAAAGGTTAGAGCTTAAAGCATCCATCAGCACTTGTAGGCCAGGACTTATTATTCTTCGTAGCTTTTGACCCCGAACGACGTAAAGGAGCGTCCGGAAAAAAAACATCGGCGAGTCTCACGTGCAAGACACTTCTCGAAAGAAATTGTATTTACATTTTTACATTACATCTCGCATATTCATGTGTGTCCCTTAGGCATACGAACTCCCGAAGAAAGACTTTCGTCAGGAAACTGTGTCGCGGAGCGCACAATCGTAACTACGCAATCGTTTGCTACGCTTACCGCGAGATATCGGGATTTCCCGTCGAGATCTGCACGATCGTCGACGAACGCTAATACGGGTCGAGACGGACAAAACAAGGGAGTCAGAAGGGAGTTTCTTCAGGAAACGTAACAGAAATGTTTCACCGTTCGACCGACAAGATAGTCCGCTCGTGTAAATCCGATGTCGATGCCTAAGCGCCTCGTATGCGCTTGATTCTACCTAAAAAAAAACATCTTCGATACTAACACTTCGCACAAATTTATTACGGACGATAATGATTAAAACGCGTCGAATCTGAAGCAGCTGTTTTGCGTTTTGTTCCTTCGAATTCAAGATCGCGGACGCTAGCTTCACCGTTGATCACACACTTGATCAGCACAACGACTCAAACAACTGCCTTTACAATTCATTAGAACCTAGAACAAAGTGTATTCGCACTCAGGCAGAGAACAAGGTAGTTATTTACAATACGTAGACAATTGCACATTAACGAAGCGGTAAAGTTAACAAGAACGAATTTCAATCGTTCAAACCATCGTTCGTCTAGCAACATCGTTGGATTAAGAGTAACAAAATTCGGCGAGTTCAACCACAAGCTGTGTCTCTGATTCACACAATCAATCCGTTTGGATAGACACAAATGCACGCCGCGTATATCACACAGAAATAACATATATAGGCTGGCTTAAAAGCCCGGAAAAATGACGAATCATCTCCGAAACGATTGGTTTTATGGAATAACGTTTGAAACGAAGGTGTTCAAAAAATTATACTAGATAATAATGTCTTTGTGATCTTGAAGTGACTTTGAGATGGTTTGTCAAGATGACTTTATTGAAAACCCTTAAATGGATACCATTTTTTATTACAGATTTTAATAACTAATGTCGATACCTTTACGAAACATTATGATGATATCCAATTTACATCTTTAATTCAGAAGCTGGAAGAGTTAAATGATGACCTGCCGCCAACATCAGCGTTACCTGATGGACACCGTGAGGAGGTTGCTTGGTTAGATGCAGCTCTAAAAAGAATCGATCACACAATCGGACTTTGTATGATCCGAGAAAACCTCCCCGCAGTGCTGTTGGTAAGTCAACATTTAACTCTTCTAACTTCTGAACTAAAGATCCAAATTAGATACTATTATAGTCTTTTGAAAGATGAAAAGATCGCGACGCCAGTTATCAAAACAAGTAATAAAAAGTGGGGGAGTATTCATTTAAGTTTTTTAAACGTCATCTTGACATATCATTTCAAGGTCACAGGGACAACTAATGTAATTTTCTGAATACTGCAAGTATTGTCTGAAACATCTTATAAAACCAATTATTTCGGAGATAATTGGCCGTTTCCGGACTTTCGAACCGCCCTGTGTGATTCGCAAAATCGAAGAGCTCATTTTCAAAAACCGTCTTAAAATTCGTCGTTTTAAAAAGTGAGGACAATATGTAACAAAGCCGAGGAAAGTTTGGAAAAGCCTTGTGACGTGTGACTTTCTCGGAAACGCAGGTTCGGAATAAGCCCGGAAATGAGCTCCTCAATTGCTCACTCATGCTTTTTGATAATTGCTCAGTATCTGCATTTTATTATCGAATATCCTCCTTCTCTCTTTTCTCCATGTTCGATATCAAACAAAAGAAAACAAATATGAGTGCAAACTACTTTTCATTCGATATGCGACGCAGTCAAATAGTTAAAAATCCACTCGCTAGGCAACTTGAACAGCAAGAAAGGATTACGTATCAAAAGATGTGCCTTTTCATGTCGAGATGCAAATGAAATTCGACAAATCATCGTGAATCATCGTCGAGGCGACTAGATTACATCGTTCGTTCGAGGAATGCATCCCGAGACTTTCCAGCTAAAGTATCTCCGCGGAGAGCGTTCAACGACGCGTATCACTGACACGCGCGCGCTTTGAACCTTCCATTATTGTCGTGTGAATTTTCACCGGCGAACCAAGGAGAGACAGTGAGATGGCAATAAGAACAAGAATGAGAAATGCGAAACCGTGAAAAGAATCCTGCAGAAAAAAAGACCCCTAATGAAAGGCGTATTTTTATGACGTGCGTTATGCGTGACTGCGCCTCCTGCGTCGCTGATTCGAAGCACCCGTGAAATCGAGGGTCGGAAATCATTCGCGAATCACTCTTCTCATGCCTTCTCGCTCGATCGCTCGGTCGATAGTCGGCGAGGTCAACTTAAAAAAACGATCGGAATTTTATTCCGCGTCCGCGCGTTACATCGCAGCATCATCGCAGGCCGGCCGGCGAGCGCGCAGCGTAACGCAAGCGTATCATCCTCGGTCGAGACTCTCAGACACCGTGTAAGCCACATCTCAGGAAAGCCTCGACGGGTCCTGACGCGGTACCCGCACCCAGCCGTTGTTCCCGGAAACGGCAGGCGCTATCATCGGCGCGTTGGCGTTCGTCAGTGCCCCGTTGACCCTTTGATCCTTCATGATTTGCAACTGCCGCTTCAGATTGCGGCACAACTTCACCAGGGATTCCTACAAGTTGTAGCGCCTGTGTGAGTTGCAATATCTACTGAGAGTCGGAAGCTCCTTATATTTAATTAGACGCCGGTTTAATTAGACCGCCACGCCACTTACTATTTTAATAACGAAAATAGGGATAATTGTTTTAACTATTTTATAGAGATATTAAATGAAAATATTATTCGTGTGCAATATATGATAAACTTAAAAAAATATGATATTAATACTGATGTACTAAAAAAAAAGAAAAAAAAACATTGCATATTTATTATAAAATAATCAAATTTACACATATATTTCGTGATATTTTGAAAAACAATCCATATATAATTGTGTGGTTGTTATTATATTAATGTTCCTTCTTTTTTTTGTAATTATATTATTTTTATATTAGCTTTTTTTTCTTAAAACCTTTGTACATAACAAATGTTAAGTCGTAACCGTATTATATAACAAATGTTTAGTCGTAACCGTAAGTCTGTAGAAAAAATTGACCAATCGCAGTGGATTATTCTTCAACGCAAAGAGAATACCTGATCATTAACTGTGATTGGTCAATTTTCTTATGAATTTACGATTACGACGAAAAATTTCTTATGCGTAAAGGCTTTTATCCAGAATATTTTGCAACATTATACATCGTGATTTCTATAATGTACGCTCGAAACTAGCCGAGCAGTCTAAGTGTTAAGTGGTATCCAAGGAACGATCTTAAGCCTTCCCACCCCGCATTAGATTCGATCTCGATTCCCGGGACAGACGGGAAGATGAATACAAAGACAAGGAGCGGGTGAAGAATGTTTTTTTTTTTCAAACCTTCTCGTCCTCCAGTTTGCGCAGCTCCTGCTGTTGCTTGAGGCTGTCGAGGCTCAGGTTCTTCAGCATCTCGTTCTTGTACTTGCTCAAGAACGCTATCTCCGTTTGGACCTTCAAGTACTCCTGCGCTATCTGCTTGTGCTCCTCGAAGATCTCGCGCGAGCGTTCGCACGTGTAGTCGGGCGTGAGCGGCCTCAGGTCGGCATCCAGGAGGCGGCACACATTGCCCAGGTCTTCGCTCGTGGTGCTGCTACCTGCGACATCGAGTTGCAAGGATCAATCATGAGAGACGTTTAACACATTACACACGACGCACGCTCTCCGTATTGCGCTCTAGTGAATTATTCGCCTTGAGTTCGCGAATGTAGTCGCGAGACCTGCAGTTCGGGGTGCAAGCACTACCCTCTCTGCTCTTCCAAGAGAACGCGTATTCTCTCTCGTTTTCTCTCGAACGATTTCGTCCTCGCGAGACCTAACGAATACCAACTAAATCTAACGAAGTCTACTAACGCAGTAGGACCCAGCAGCGCTTGAGGGTGTCGGTGCCGACGATCTCCGGGTAGTCGTCGCACATGTCGGACACCGTAGTAGCTGCCGCTCGCGCGAGCCGTAGTTACTTTCGACGACGACGTGAGCCACGACTATCCTTCGCGTACCGATCCTGCTGACGGCATTATCTCTTCCTTCCTTCCTACCAGACTCGGCACTTGTTCATACAAAAACTCTCTCCCGCCCTTTCTCTCTTTCTCGGCGAGGTGGTCTCCTTAGATGCAGAAACGGCGGCGACAGCAGCGATAGCCAGGAATCAGCCCTGGGATCTTTGAGAAGGTGCGAGCGACTCTCTCAGGAGATCGCCGGCTGTTCAAGTGGAATGATCCGGGAATGGAATCCGCGTTGCAGGGGGATCAATTCCCGGTCGATCGATCGATGTCCTCGATAATTCGAGTCGAGCTCGTATTGCGCGCTTGGCGACCTAATCGGCGGGAGGTGCTCCTCCGTAGGGAGTCGGCTCTCTACTAAACAAACGTGCGTCTATATTGGAGATGCTGACTCAGCCACACCTGCTTCTAAATACCCCCCACCCGCCGGACGGAAAGGAACGCCGCGGCGTATACACGAGCCAAGAACAAAACGCGCTCTCCGCCTTGATTCATCCTCGAGAATCTCGTGCCTGATTTTTATTTCGTCTCCTTTCGTCGGTCGTCCTCTCTCTCTCTCTCTCGTTTTCTCATCTCCCGCTCCTCACCGAATAGCCTTATCTTCTCCTTCCCCTCCTCCTCTTTCTTCCTCTTCTTCTTCTTCCACCACCTCCTCTAATGCTCCTCCACTATTCGGTCTCTCTCTCTCTCTCTCTCTCTCTCTCTCTCTCTCTCCTCTTCATCGTCCTCCCATCGCCATCGCTGCTGCCCGCCGTCCTCTTCGTCTGCCGCAACGTGCCAATCAAAAGCGAGTCACACGTCCTACCGATTAGTCGTCAGTTAAATTTAGTGCACGCGCACATCGCGCGGCTATTGCGGCTGCTGTACGGGCCCTTTGCCAGGGTAACACCGGCTAAACTCCGTCTCTCGATCGACGAACCCTCGATGAATATAGCGTGTGAACCTCATAACGACCTTTCCCACCGTCTCATCGGCGATCCCGCGTCGTCCAGCAGGCGATCATTTATTCGCCTAACGGGGATTCGCCACGCGCGAAAATACATCACTATCGGAAGAAAGATTATTACTTTCGCTTTTCTCACACACACACGCACACACACATACTCTCTCGCGCATACAGCGACACGCGTCGCGGGGGCGTCGAGCGTCAACGCGAGCTTCGCGCGAAGATCCTCGCGATTCTCGAGATATTGCAGGAACGAGTGAAACGGCACATGTGGTGCGGCATGCGCAACCGAGCAGGACGGAGCTGATCGCTCGCGCTGATATTAAACCGCTCCACTCTTTCGCTGTTCCGGCGCGCGGCAGAACAATCGCTAAATTGTGCTTTTACGGCGATTACGCTGATTCCGCGTTCGCAGAAACGCGTATTATGAGCAATGCGGCGTGACGGAGACGCAAGAGAGCGAGCGAGCGAGCGAGAGAAAGAGAGAGAGAGAGAGAGAGAGAGGAGATGCGGTCGAGGAAGGCGCCCGGTGAGTCAGCAGTGCTTAGTATTCTAGGCCGAAAATAATCTACTTCGTGTACCACAAAGCGCTGCTCTGTAAGCTCAAAACGCGCGCTCGCGTGTTGAAGCCCGAAGCGCGAAGGCATTGTGTCCATTAAAATCCACGTTATCCGACATATTAGTCATGCACGTTCGCCACCCTCTCGTGGAACTGCTCGTCAGAATCTTTCCTTTTTTTTTTCTTCTTTTCTTTGCCTTCTCCTTCCACCGCTAATCGATCATCGTCGATGACGAGTCAGACACATCGTCATATGTGCTGACATCTCTCTCGCTAATCAAATACAAGAGACAATACGGTGTTATGTACAACGGATTAGATTACGAATACGTATTTCGGTATAATCGGAAGAGTTACAATCAGAGAGTTTAGAAAACGCAAGTTTTCTCGATGTTTCGACTCGCTCGGCGCTTCAGTTGTCTTTATATGACGCAATGTCATTTCGGTACGTCCCGTTGACTTCTGCGATGGCCGTTTAAGGACATAAAACATAGACAACTCTTCGTTCGTTGATATTCCTGGCAGCGTGCCTTCAGCGAGAAGGAGAAAGAGAGAGAGGAGAGGCCGAGAGAGAGAGAGAGAGGCTGGTCTCGCACAGGCAGCCAGTTTGGTGCCACAGCCTCCTTGCGATCTTTTTTCGGCACCTGTTCTCAGAAAGGGTCGCGCGCGAGTATTTATTCAAATATACATTTCGCGAAAATTCCCTGATCCGCGAATAAATAAAAGGTCCAGTCACGCCTTTTGTAATGCGTGATATTTACACTGGGATTTTTATAAGATGAAAGAGCGTATCGCACACGATAGTTTCCCTCGCGAAATATCCAGACACAGTGTCCAAAATCGGGACATAAAGTGGGGGTTTACAGTGAAACTTGAAGCTTTAAGCCATAAAAAATTGACCAGTCACGGTCGAATTATAGAAGAATAATAAATTTTGATTCATCAATTTTTTACGGCTTGCAGCTTAAATTCTCATTGTAGACCCCTCCTCCCCCCTCGCTTAGAACGTTTTTAAGACGTTTTAAGCGGTGGCTACAATAAGAATTCAAGGCGTAAGATACAAGTTTTAAGTCTTGAATCTTGAGAAATTGACCAATCACAACCGATTATTCCCCCCGTATTCGACTGTCAATTTCTTAAAACTTAAACACCTATTGTAGACCGGGACTTAGCACATGTCTATAATCTTGCTTTAAGACGTAAGTCATAAGCAAATTGATCAATCACGATCGATTATTCTTTCAATAGACGCCCGTGATTAATCAATTTGATAACTGCTTACGTCTTAAAGCAAGGCTGTAGACACGGGGTTAAGCAGTAAGAAAATTGACCAATTACAGTAAATTATTCATCGATCGTAAGGAGAATAGTCGACTATGATTGGTCAATTTTCTTACCGAGGTATTATTGCTTACGTTTTGTATGTGCAGTGGCCCTGATCTTAGAATGGTCGCGTACTTAAATACAACACGAAATGTAACGCGAATGGTCGTATGGATGACAAATGTCCTCCATTTTAAATTGGCATTTTCAATAAAAAAAAAAAGAACGAACTTCTCGTATCAAAATTGATTTTAGACATTGTACTATCCGAGTTACGCGCTAAATCGACGACTAACACTCGCGTCTCCGCACATTCATTGCCAGCATCATTAGACACTTCAAATTCTCACGACTCACGTACTTACTTTGTTGAATGTTTTTCTTCGTTTTCGGCATCATTTTGTCTAAGCCAGCCATGTTACGAATCTCCCAGGACGAATCGGACGAGCTCGGCAAGTCCCAAGCATTCTGCGCATAGAGAGGACATTTTAAGGTATTTTTTTAGATATCTAATGACATAAAGATACAACGATGTGTGCGGAATAATCGCATAAGAAGACGCGATACAAAATATCAGTCACGTGCGAAATATTTATTTATAGTAAAAAACAAGATCACTTAATAACAGAATTACCAACCGGATCGCATTCCACGTGCAATGGGGCGAAATTGTAGTTTTTGTGTTGCAGCGCAGCGAATTTCTCGTCACGTGCCGTCGGTGCCGCCGCGCTTTGCAGGATCGACGGTTTGGCGTAGTCTAAATTACCGTCCGTGGCTCCGGGATAATGCTTGTTCGGAACCGGACACTCGTTAGGTGCTCGTTGAAATCCTAAATTATTTTGTCGGGCTGGGAAATTCGTCGTCGGCACGTCGAATGGCGACGTGTGACGCAAAGGACAAACCGACGAATTCTCCCCGTTGGAACATCCGTCGACTTTCTCCACGGTCTTTGGAATTGTGTGAATAGTGCCGTTCGCAACAGAGCCATTCACTCGAGAGTCTAAGGTACTGGCCATATCTAATGTATCTTCCTTCGAGGTCTCATTTTCATCTACATAGTCAGACTCACTACCTGCAATACGTGGTATACACCGTGTACCGACGCGCATATTACCTTCTGAGCGGGTGACGCGCTCTGTTGCGCGTTATATAATCGCGTATTAAATATATATATATATATACATATATCATACATACTTAAGGAATACTCGACAGGTTCTAAATGGTGGCTGAAAAATTCCGACAGCTCGGTCATTATCCTCACCACCTCGTCCATAGACGGTCTTTCTTCAGGTGCTTTCTGCCAACATCTGTCGTGAGAGTTAGCAATGTTGAGCGGAGATGGTACGAATGAAAACTATATATCAATATTAATGTGATTTTTCGTTTATCAATGTCAATTATGTAGTTTCTAAGTGAATATTCTGTCATACATATAATACAAATATTGGTATAAATTTTATATAATTTTATACTGTCCCAATATAAGGAGAATATCTAAATATCTTAGGGGCCTAAACACGGAGACTTTAAAAAATGAAAAAAAAATTACCGTAAAGGAATTTTTCTTTCATGATATTCCTCATTCGAAACCATTCAAATTGTAAACATTTCTGTAAATATTTCTCGTATCATTAAGAGCAAAAGGGATATTTAAATGTTCTTGTGCTGGGACACCTTGTATATTAACAAGGAAATATATATATATATATATGGAAAACTGGGCTCCGTCTTTCGGAAAAGACGTTAAGCCATTGGTCCACGCACAGTCGGTAATCACTCTGTGAAATCTCACGTTTTATGAAAAATACTCGCCAACACAATGGCAAGCGCGGCGCTTTAAATGCCAAAATTCCTTCCAAGTAAAATTGGAAGAGGCTATGTCCAGCAGTGGGCGAAACAAGGCTGATGATGATACATATCGGTAATATTATTTCTCTTTATAATTGTCTCACCTAGTCATAAGATCTTCGATCGGTTTCGGGCATCCTTCTATCAAAGGAGGCCTCTGTCCTACATGAACAGCCCACATTATCCTAAAGGCTGAAGCACCAATATCATCAAAGGGTTTTTTGCGTGTTAAGACCTCCCACAAAATGATACCCCAACTAAATACATCGCACTTCTCTGTATACCTAGATCCTTCAAACACTTCTGGCGCCATCCATGCGGCCGAGCCTTTATTATTAGTCATATACGTGTTTAAGTCACAGGCCGTGCCGAAGTCGCAAATTTTAAGCATTTGTCCACCCATAACTAACAACAGATTAGGTGGCTTTAGATCTCTGCGGAGTAAAATCCATTAAAACTGTCCTCTTCTCTCCCTCATTTCTCAGGTATAAAGAGACGTTGTTGTTGCACTAAGCTTGCCTTACCTGTGTATCAATGGTTTTGGCTTCATATTATGAAGATACGCAACACCACGCGCACACTGGAGGGCCCAACTCATGGCATGACTAGTGGTATAATGCGGCTGAGGATTGCAATGTAATACTATACACACAAAGAAAAGATTTTAGAAGTACAATTAACTTGTGTGGTTAGAAGAAACAAGGAATATATCGCTCATTACCATTGTACAATGATCCACCTTCTGCGTATTCCATCACCAAGCACACCGGATTCTTAGTACACGCGCCGTACAACTTAACGATATTGGGATGGGCGACTCGGGACAGCTGTCTAACTTCCACGGTGAAGGCCTTTCTCTCTCCTTCCGAATTTATGTGTTTCACAGCAACGTCCTGCCCCCTCCATTTCCCTTTCCACACAACCCCGAAGGAACCTTTGCCGACTACCTGTAAGTAGGTGATAAACAGGTGTGGGAACACAACTCAACCGTACGTCCAAAGTAGGCGTTTGTACAGCTTAAAGTGAACGACTGTGTGAATGAAAAACGAGCGTCAACCAGAAGCGAGCGGTCTTCTGATAATATTGCATTCCTTTACTCGAGGATAGTTGCTTTCATACATTTGAGGTTATCTTGCCGATGCATCGATTACCGTTTCGAGAAAACAAGATCGGACCGGTCCGGTTCGTGAAAATAGTTAGCGGAGGGAACATCAAACGTTGAGATGCGGCTTGTGAACGTCGGCAAAACGCCGTGCGCGAGGCGAACGAGAGGGAAGCAATGCGAACGTAAGGAGAACTACCTGCTCTGTCTCGATCTCATTATAGTCGATTTCCTCAACGAACTGCTGCTGATGGCCGATCATCTCTTTGCACGCCATCGCACACAGTCCACGTCACATGATTTTCAGGGCACATTTGAGGCTTCGCGCGCGCGAGTGTTTACTCAAATTGGCATCAAACAACCTCGCAAATCGCCATCTTCCGAATCCGCTCGGAGGGCATCACGGCTGATAATCTCGTTGGCGAAGAGCGAAGCGTCCCTGTCTGCGATGTGTCNCCCCCCCCGCCCCGGTGTCTCCGGATTCAAGCTTGAAAAGCTTATTCGATTCGTCGTTGGGCCGTGTTATTTGAAACGAAAAATCTCTCCGATCGGCCGTTCGGTCGCGCTATTTCAAAATAAAAACGCCGTCTGACTCGTTGTGTCGTACTACTTGTGAGAGGTCCTCTGAAAGCTGCCGATAAACGTACCGCTTGAAAGCGACGAGGCTTTATCGCTCGCTGTTGAGCACCGCTCGAAAACGAAAATCCGTCGGTTTCACTGTCAAATCGTTCTGTTTGACAATAAAAGGTAAGTCCAACTTGTTGTCGAGTCGAATCACGAACTCGACTTTTCTTCATGAACAGTAGCGGCTCCTAGCGGAGGCTGCGGAATTATTATTGAAAGTAATGCCCGTATTGGACTACGGATTAGGATTGAGATTGGATCGCAATTTAACCAATCAGAGGAAAGTTCACTAAATTCGAGTTTTAGCGAGTCTCGCTCTGATTGGCCAGATTTTAATTCAATCTCAATCTGTTTGAAACAAGCCTAACGCCACGCTTACTGCAACGAGTGCTTACGGAGCGTGTAATGGAACGCACTGTCCGTTATCACTGCCAAGATGCCATCTCGCGTTTCCTTTTCGAACTCTAATGATCAACGGCAGCTCGAAGCACTGCAACGTTAGATGGCGCCAGTAGAGTGATTCGGTGGCTGGAAGGTCGAATATGATTGAACAGTGCAACGCTGGGTGGTGTTAGTAGCGTAATTTAGTTTAACGGTTGGAGATCCGACGTAAGCAATTTAGAAATATTGAAAAGATTAGAAATTAGAAAAGAGTTCTTTTATTTCGAGGCGATTATTAATATATGTTGCGAAATCTATACTTTCAGTTTGTTTTACGACGCAATCTCAAGAAATTCAACATGGGTCGTAAGGATTATCGTGAGAGAGAAAGAGAGAGAGAGAGAGAGAGATATCCTTGCACGGAACAGATACGTTTCAGTCTCGTTAAATTTAAATTTAGCTGACGCAAAATAACGAATATGCGATCAAACGGAATATTAATATAAAAATACTCGAATGTACCGACACTCTTTAATCTTTTCCATCTTCCATACTCTTTGGAAATATGTCTTACGGTAATACTTCCCACATAGCAGAAATGTCCAAAATACTTCAAAGAGATATTCTAAAAGAAAAAGAAAATAAAAAGAAACATCTTGACCGGGATTATCGATTAATGAGCGGGATAATTAGTTCGAATTAGTACGAAATTTATGCAAGTTATGTCGAATCTAACGTATACAGGCAATATTTACTTCTCCGACTAAATACATCGTCTGGTGTCTACAAAGCTGTCGCAAAAGCTGTGGAATTCGATAAAAAGTGGCAACTTTACGAAGACGCGAGGAAGAATGACGTTCTTGTGTAAAGATATGTATACTTAAATGTTTCTCACGTTACCCGGGAGGTTCATAGAATACACAGAGAAAAAGGTTTCTTTAAATTCGGTATTTCTATTTATTTGATTAAAATTTGTTTCATAGAAACAACATATGTACGAAAAATACATTGTACGAAATATTATTTGTTTGGGTAAAAATGTTATCATCTCATTCAAGGAAACTCTGTTATTTAACAGAAAGAATCTCTATTACTTGAAATAATATCCTTCAACCGAATAAAATACTATTCGGTCACAATAAATATGTAAAATGAAACAATTTCTTTATAAGAAAATTATCTTTCGTTTCGAACAAATATTTTATTTGAGATAAAGACACATATTCGTCGTAGAGTCTAACAATCGTACTTATTAATCGAAACATTAGTTTCCTTGGAGCGTGTCAATGTTGAAATTCGTTTGGATGCGGTAAAATTGATAAAATTTGAAGAAATCTCTTTCTCGGTCTACGTTAGTGTTATTTGCGATACCTCGAAAGTATCGAACAAATGAAACCGAGTTGCAACGATACGCGTGGAGAATCAAACGGGAAATATAAGCGAGTCGTCTCCGTCGCTGGACGTCCACGTCGCACGCGGCGACCGGCGAAGCCGACGCCGCGGAATCATCGCGCTCTCATCGTGAAACTTTATATCCGTGATGCATAATTCTCGCTGAGTAGATACGTACACAGGCATGTTTGTGTACGTACGCAACCGTACGTACGCGAATTCGCATGCGAATGTGGCAACGCGCGCAGAAGGAAAGCGAGGAAACGAAGCTCGGGCCGAACTTGAGTCCGGCGAGCGTGCGAGCGAGCGAGCGCGCGTGTAATTGCGAGTTAAGTATGCTAGGCTAGGTTCCTCGTATCGTATCGAGCTAGAATACGTCGCTTGGCCTTTACGCTGACCCGTGCTTTCACCCGGTAGCATCGTCGTCGTCCTCTCGTCCCGATTCACCTCGTCCCCATCGCCCGATCTCATCGATTCGCCTCCATTGGTCACTCCACTTGCCGAGCGCACTTGTCATGACGTAATAGCCACACAAAGCGAAAGAGAGAGGAAGAAAGGGATATTCGCGAAAAGCTGAAATCTCGAAAGATCTCATCACGACCTACCCCGGGCGCGATCGCCCACGGAGAAAACAAATTTCCCAGAGAACAGCAAATGTCTGGCAATGTATAGTGACAGCGAAAAAAGATTCGTTCAGACAGCGAAAGATTTATTTGAGCAGCAGAAAGATTCGTTAAGAGTATTAATAATCCGTATATCTAGCGAATAGCAATTAATATTCTTAACAACGACTCGCGCGTCTTTTCACTGTCCAGACAAATTTTTTTGTCTGTATAAACAATTGTTTTTTACTGTCACTATATCGATAAATATTTGATGTTCTAGCAAAATTTGTTCACGTGTCGCAGATGTCGCGAGATAGGTCTCCTCGGACAGCACAAGTCGGTTGGCCAAACGTTTCCCAACGTTCACCGAGCCAATTCGCGCTGCTTCGGAAAAGATGGCATAGGAAACCCTCCTTGCGGCCCTGCACGAAATGCGCTCGCGAGCGACGACGACAGGAGAGATCCCGGGAGCGAAGAAGAGAGCTCGGGCGCGCGAGATCGCGAGATCTCTAACAGTCGTTACGATCGGTGACTCGGTGTCGCGAAATTAAATGCGATGCGAGTCACGAAGATCGCTGAGATCGTTAACACGGCGGCGCGTCCGACGGCGCGTCATTGTTCGGTGCGCTTTCGAAACGCGCGTCTAGAATGCATTCGGCCGGCTGGCGTAACACGCGGCTGACGATACGATCGTCACCGGCGTTAGTTGCATTTATTAGCGTCGGTCTACATTAGGTATTTTAAGCCTTAAGAAATTGACCAATCACTGTTAATTATTCTCCTTACATTCGACTGTAATTGGTCAATTTCTTAAGGCTTAAAACATCTATCGAAGACCGACACTTAGGGTGCCCAGCGGGAAGCAAAACGGCTCGGACGCTGAGTTTAGGGTTTAGAAACTGAAGCTGGGAGCGATGGTCTCCGATGAGAGAACCTGTTTTTCACTAATTCGTTCTCTCACATTGGACCGTCCCCAGTAAGCAAGAAATCATTAACACAACGTTATTGCAATATTTTATAACATGCTTTCAAATATGCAATTCTTAATGTTATATAATGTTATATAATGTATATTTAACGTCATTGTTAACAATATTTGACCCGAACATCGAAAATAATATTCAATATGATTTTAATATTCAGGAACATTATATCATCAACATTCCGTTATAACAGTTTAAAAATTTAATATTTTATTTATATCATGTCAAAATGTTTACAACATCCACATCAAATCAATGTTTCAGAAGATCGATTCGATGTTTCTCGCTTACTGGCTCGGTAACGAGGTGACATTAAAAATTATCGGCCCTGCGGAATTTAGCATATAAAGAAATATCACTCTTTAACAAGGCCGATAAATTTGCTGGTGAATTTGCTTCAAATCAGCGTGCACGGAAAAAAATAATTTTACTGGCACGGCGAATTTTATTTTGCCATCGCGGCAAAATCATTACACGAGCTCTCTCGACCCGTCATTATAATGCATCCCCGTGCTGTACGATTCAACGACTCGCGCGTCTCTCTCTCTCTCTCTCTCGCGCCGAATCTAAGCGAAAACCGGAGGAACTGTACACTCTAATCTCGCGGTACCTTTCACCGCGTGCGCGTGTCATCATGGTCCATCATATTCGGGTTCGCTTGCTCTCGCTCGCTTGTCCGTTCGCGCTCGCTCGGCCCGCTCGCTCGAACGAACGAACGAATTGCAACCTAACGTTTGTGAGAGTTCTCGCTGTTAGCCGCGATCCCGAGCTATAATATTGTCCACGACGCGCGTTCATCGCCGGCACGTAGCCAGCCCAATAGTAACTCGACGGTTCTCTTACGTAAGGAATCGCACGGTCGCGGGAAAAGCTACAGTTCTCTCGCTCTCTCGCTCTCTTTCTCCTCGTGAACGTCGGCATAATCGCGTTTTTATCGGTACTTGAAAATGTCGGAGAATTATGCCGAGCGTTCCCGCGCAATAAACCGTGATTGATAGGCAATATCCCGCCGGCTCTCGTTTCGCAGCGTAAGAAAGTAAGAAGGAAGCAGAGAGATAAAGAGAAATAGAGAGAGAGAGAGAGGGAGAGACACAGAGAGGTTTCAGAGCGGGATTTCGGAGAACGTGGTTCTCTTTCTCTCTCGATCTCAAGCAGCTGGTTAGTTAATAGCGGTTATTATATAGAGCAAAAACACTGCTATACAAATAATACGAATTTATTTGTCGAAAGCGAAACTAGCAATTACATTGTCGCAATATTCCGCAATGTCCGGCTCGAATCGTGAATCGCAGAACGATAAGCGCGAGTATACAAGTTATTTTAGGATCGTCCCTTGCGCGAGTGAAAGGTTTCGCGATGTCAGAGGCCAAAAATGACCTCCCACTCGAAGGGGAACGCGAGATCCACCGCGTCCCAACGTCTCGGCGGATGCGAGAGGTCCTGAATGCGCCGGCGGATGCGCCCGCCAAGATCCGCGTACGAAATCGCACCGGTGGAACGGTATCGAGAAACTCTCGTCGGACAGTGAAAGTGATCCTTCGATACCTCCGCCGGCAAGACGATGTTCTAATAAATTAGTCGCATCGCGCGCATTCCCGGCGAGAGATCCGCGCGAGGAAGAAGAGTACCGCGCTGATCTCTTCCTCCGTTGCATTTCCGTGTAATGAACGCACAACATGCTCCGTGAATATTCCGGACGGGCTTTGAAGTCGATTCTTGGCTTCGACGGAGCGTACGTTGTTGCTGGGTTATCGCCCGGGAAGAGGGGAAGGGGGATCTATCCGAGTACACGGAGAAAAAGGTCTCTTTGGAT